TAAAATTTTGGCAAAATACCATACCATACAAATTTTGAAAGAAATAAGAAAATGGTAATCATTTTCGGTAAAAGCTGTTGAGATATATTGGGCGCTTGTGCTAGGTGCCATACAACTTCAAAAGTTATATGGTTACATCTCAGAAATTATCAAAGCTATACCTAGTGTTAAGATTCGCAAAAGCTAATGTATTTTAAAATATACTATTCAATCTAATGTATGATGAAAGTTGTTGAAATCGCTCAACTCTTTGTGGTATTTATCGTACAACTTCAAAAATTATTTTCTCATACGTGTATTATGGAAACTATTACTACTACAGTGTTTTTACAAATAAAAATGAAATAAAAAGATAAATAAATGTTTCTAAAAAATTTGATATATGAGCATTTGATTTTTTCATTTTTATTAAAAAAAAATAAAAACAAAAAAAAATCAAATACGAATTTGTAGACAAAGTTGTTCTTAAATGGTTACAATCGACAAAAGAATAAAACTTATTGGTTTCTGGAAATTTAATAAAAAAAAATGTTCTCAATTTTGGCAAAGAATTGGTGATAAAAGTTTTAAAGCCAGTTCAGACTCGCTTGAAAAATTTAAGAAAAGATATGACATTATTCAAGTCTTGTGTTGATATGGAATCTTTTCGCAATTGGAATGAAAAATTTTACGTAAATTAATAGAAAAATATTCTGCAAATGACATTTATAACACAGATGGCAATTGGCCTTTTTTGAGTTTTTATCAGAAAAAACTTAAAATTCCGCAATACTACTTTGATTTACAGAGGTCCATTATATATTAATGTACATATACATGTACATATGCCGATTCTATCTAAAGAAATACTGAAAAATTCACTGAAATTTCTGAGGGTATACAATTTTTGTTCTATATACATACATTGATTATTTGAATTTTTTCAACGTAGATATTTACACAATTTATTTTTAATTAACTCACTTAAAAATGTATTTCTCTCAAAAAATAAATTGACAAATAAAAAAAAACATAAAGAAAATCATTTTGTCACACAATTTGGCAAAGTTTTCAAAATATTTTCCCTGATTCTTTTTAATTCAAAAATTTTCTCACTAATACTCGTACAGTTTCAATTAGTTATTTTAATTTATAATTTTCCATTGATCATGAGTGAAAAATGTGTCAGTATGTGTAAATAGAGCGATTTCCCAGTCATTTTCGTATTCTGAATAATAAAACAGGGTTCGCGTTTTATTTTAGTTAATACTAGAACTATAAATATTAAAATAACTTATATAAAAACGGAACATAAAATATTTTGGTTTTAAAAATGTGAAGTTTTACGTTGAATGTAATTCTTTGTGTTATATTAATGTTCATATATTATATTTCTACAATAGTATATAACAATATGTACATGTATTTGACATGCTTACATACACGTAGTGTAAAATATAACACACGTATAAGTGAAATTAAAAAAAAATACCAAATATGGTGTAAAAATATTACAACTAAAACTATTTTGAAATAAAATGAAACCTAGATTAAAAAGTTATTTAAGTAAAAAAGGACATATGTTTTTAATTTTTCATCTTACAGAAAATCACCAGTTTTGATATGCTGAAATTGGAAAAATATAAGAGATATCCATTTATTAATACATTTTTTTTATACATATGAATGCAGATATAATTTTTTATATATATCAACATGAAAATTTTGAACAAATTGTGCAACACAAACAATAGAACGGGTTTAATAGTTTAAAAAAAAATTAACTTCAATAAAATTATTTTATGAAAAAGGAAATTCAAAATAAATTTAAAAAAACTTTATGATATCACGGTTTTTTATAATTTTGGTTTTTCAGCTTTTTTCGCAGCGATTTTTAAATAAATGCTTTGAAAATATCACTCAAATGGAATTTTATCAAGGACAAAATAATATTCTATTTTATAAATGAAAAAAAAAATGTAAATGAATAATTTTGAAAGGGGAAAAAATATAATTAAAAAAATAATTAGGTTTAAAAAAATTTTAAAAGAAAAATATTAGGAAAAATATTGTTACATGTGTATTTTATTAGTATTTGCATGACTTACATTATATATGTATAAGTATATATAAGTATGTGTATAAGTATATATGCGTGTATGTATAAATATTATAAAATTTATTTAAAATATTAATACATGTGAAAAAAATTTTTAGGCCTTCGAGTTTAAATCAATGCGCTAACTATTTAAAAAATATTAAATATGAATTATATTTTATATATTTAATAATAATAATATGCATCACAAAATACAATTGAAATGAATTAAGATTAAACTAAAATTCTAAATTAAAATTTTAAAATATCAATTAAAAAATCCTGGTACCCCCCGTGTAAACTGATAAAAAATAATTATTATGACAACCCATTTACGCTAAATATATACTAAAATGTATAGAAATTTGGTTGAACTAAACAAATTTGAATTTCAAAGTAATTTGATGGAGTTACGTTACCCTTACAAATTAATTAAAAAATAGAAAAATGTTCACACAGGCATTTTTCGATAATAATTTTCTATTAAAGTTGTGAAACAAATTTCTATTATTGCAAACCTTAAGTTGAAATTGAAATGCATGTTAATAAAAATTTGTATTCAGCAATTTTTTTATAATTAAATAAAAACAGTAAAAATAAAGCGAAAATGTCTAAAAATGTGATCGAAATGGAAAGATCAAAGTTTTTAATATTTTATTTAAATTTATAAAATAACAAAAAACCATGTATGTATATATAGCAAGTTTTGTTTTACTTTATTTCTAATTAAAGAAATATTTTTGTTGGGAGAATTAAAAAAAAAATGTTTTTATTTAACTTAAAAGCAAAACATTAATTTCATATTTATATAATAAAAAATTAATAATAATTATTAGACTATGATCATGAAATAGTAAATTGGAAAAATTTAATGAACAAGTAAAATAAAAATTACTTTATTTTTTTCTGTATTACATGCATATATACATATGTGGTTCATTGTATGATTCTATAATTAGAAAATTTTCAATTTCAATAAGTTTATTGCAAGTTTGCGCAAAAGATACGTTGATGGATCCTGTGATTTATATAAAAAGAAATAATTTTTTTTTTGATTTCTTAAACATTTTTTAATAAAACATTAAATCCAAATCGGCAGATATGTTAAACAATATACTATGCAATTTTATTTTCTAAAAAATTTTCTAATATATTTTTCATTGATTTTTATCTCACTCTTGTTAAATCTGTTAAATCTATTTATAACAAAGCCTAAAACTTTTTCGATTTTCTGCTGTCGTATTTTAAATTTCCTTTGTTTTTTTTTATTTTTTTATATCTTTTTTGTCTTTTCTTGTTATTTTTTGTTTTAGTTTTATTTTAATGAATTTTATTATGTTTTCATTTTATTTAAATAATATAACCTAGTAAAAAAATTTCATTAGAAGTTTCTTTTACCTTTTCTTTTTTCATTTTTGTACTTTTATTTTATTAGATAGTGTTACAATCATGTGATTAAATCAGATTTCAAAAACTCCCCGTGAAGTCCACATATAAACTTTGGTTTTTTTCTATTTACCGGTATCTATGGTATGTGAAAATTGTGTAAAAACAGAAAAGAGAAAATATGTAAATAAGAAAGAGAAGTTTCCTTAATTGTATAATTATCCTTAAGAAATTCTAGTTTTGAAACAAATTTATATAACGTTTCGTACTACATATAAATCTGCTTAATATTGTTGTGTGAAATTATAATTTTTGTTTTTAATGTAAATTAATATATGTATTTAAAAATTCGTACATATTGAGTATCGTTTATCATAAAATACTTTATGACATTGTAGATAATATCACAGAATATTTTAATATTTCCAATTCAAAATTTGCTTACCTGCCTTGACAAACTTACTAACTTTCTTTTATAGGTCTAGTAAACAGCTGATTTAATTTAAGTATAAATTTCATGTTACATACGAGTACATATGTATGCATATGAACAAATTAATGCATTAAATTCGCTGATTGATTTTATATTTCCCTTTTCGTTAAATATATTATTAAAAATTTAAATCTGATGATATGTATTGTATCTGATAAGCTTTAATATTAAAAATGCCTGCGATAATCTTTGGTTTTGTATCATTAAAACTCGCTAACTTTTAAATAAACTTGTTCGAATTTTTATGGTTATATCCAGTGCTCGAAGTGAGGCGGGATGGAGTGGGATGCCATCCCAGTACTTTTAAATAATTGGAAATCCATCCCACTATTTAATAGGAGAGAAAAATGCGTTCCGGAACATGTTTTTTAAAATTTAAGAATATTTTCTAATGAATTTTAAAAATTTTTTTAACAAAAAATTAAATGTAATTTTAAATAAGACCAATTTCAAATAGTAACGTATAATTTTTTTCTATTAGTGAAACTTCGTTACTACATAGTAGTCTATGCATTTCTTTGGCAACAATTTGCACAGTTTTTGATTCAATTTTTAGTTGATTTAATTTTGAATATGAATATTCTCGTTAGTTTACTTCCAAAGTTTGGTAAATTTTGTTTAGTTATTTTTTTAAAAAATAACTAAAATAATACTTTTTTTTTACCATCCCACCACTTTGAGTATCCCACTTCGACCACTGGCTATATCACAAGAAACTTATAGAGTTTAAGATAGAATTTTAACTCTATACAAACATACATATTTGTGGTCATAGATATTTCATAGGAATATGTTTGTTATATGATACCTATAAATCATGTTAAAGGCATGTTAAGTTTAAATTACAAGAACATTAAATACCTTCAACTGTTTTTAATTATGTATACAATTAATTAAAATTTATTAGCATACTAATATATATGTATTTTAATATTTTTAAAATACAATAAGATCTATAATTTAAATAATTTAATAATTTTTAATTAGTGAATCAATCATAAATAATAATTTGGATTAATAAAATTAATTTTACGTAAACTTTAGTTTTTATTTACAGGAATAAAGAAAATTATTTAACGAATTCTGAAAATGAAAAGCTAAAAAAAGCTTTTCTTATAAAACAATAAAATTAAGTTATTAGTTTTAAAAATTATTATCATATATAAGGAATACTATATAATTAAAATTAACAAAACGGTGAGAGATTCAAATGGTAAAAACAAAATCATCAGGTGTAATAAACTACGATATCAAAGGAAAAAAATTATAAACATATACATATGTATATAAACTTACGGTATATGAATAGAACTTATTAAAAAAAAAACATATATAAACACGTAATATTTAAAACTTTATTTGTATGCGGCAAACAGCTGCAAAAAAGCTTCAAAGTTGTATAAAAACAAGAAATAAATATGCATACAATATTCATAAATACATAAGTTAATTTTTTTGTCATTGAGATATTTCCTTTTTTTCAATGTAGAAAAAAATAAAATTACAAATAGTCTAAACTTAAAAATCATGACAGAAAGTGATGAATTTAAAAAATAATATTTAACCTATTTTAAATTGGTGTAATCTTAATTGATAAAAAAGTTATTTTATTATTTATGATTATAAAAGATTCATCTATGTTGTTAAAAAACATAATTTTATTTTTGGTTAAAATAGATAAAGCTTCTAAATTACAGTGTCTAAATACATTTCGAATTTCGAATTGAACAAAGTTCAATAAAAATAAAAAATTACACATCGTTAATATTAATCAAAAGTGCAGTTTAGAAGGAGGATCAAAATCACACTGCTTTTAAAAATAAAATGCAACATCCACAATCACCTGATTTACAAAACGGATCAATAGCAACAGCCCAACCTCCCGGATCATATAATACACAGAATACTAAAAGATCACTAATAAATGGTGGCAGATTCGATTTTGAAGATGGAGGTACATATTGTGGTGGCTGGGAAGAAGGAAAAGCACACGGATTTGGAGTTTGTACAGGTCCCAAACATCAGGGTGCTTACGCTGGTGCCTGGAATTATGGTTTTGAAGTATCTGGTGTGTATATTTGGCCAAGGTAATATATAAATTTTTCATTGAAATTGTTTTAAATAATATAAAAATATTTTTTTAATCCGTGTTCAAATACTTTATATACGCAATGAGAGTAATTATGTATATAATAAATGTTATTTTTATAGGCCAATGTTAGATTAAAACTTGAGGAATAGTTAAATGCTTTAAGTTAGTATAGCCGATCGATAAAAACCCCTAATATTTTTTTACATATTTATAGTTTATACAATACAGTTTTCTTTTTAACGTTTTTCCAATAAAGTTAAAGAAAGTTTTATTAATTTCACTCGTTTCGCCTAGCCGCCATCTGGCCATCCGTGCGTTTATATGTTTGTTTAAAAAGCTTTTTTAAACACGATAGAAAGCTGAAATTTTACAAGCAAGTATATGTTTTACAAACTTAAAAAAGTAATGGTTTGCTTGTTTCACCAAAAAAAGCCATAGTTTAATATTAAAATGACGATATGAGTATGGTCGTTAAGATTAACTGATATATCATGACTTTAATTGAATCTGAAATTTTAGCAGCTTCTTAAAATTAGTAAATAATTTATTTCGTTAGAAGAAATTTTTTTCCTTTCCCTTTCCAAACTTTACACAAGCGTACAATTATTACGTAAATTTCTAACATAAGTTGTTATTTATCTTGACAGACTTAATTAACCGAAGAGTTCGACTATTATATAATTGGTTCTTTTAATTTTTGCTCTTTCTCTGAGTATGCAATAACTATATTTTATCGCATAAAATGTTTTTGGTACAATATTGAAATAAAAAAGTTTTTCAAAAAAAAATTTTGTTTTCTCTTGCTGAAAAGAAAAGTGCTATTTTACTAACCATTGGTTTAATCCAAATTTATTTTTGTCTTAAACAGTAATAAGAGTATACAAAAAATAAATTCCACTTTTTGTCTCACTTTCCGCCGATTTTAACACTGCATCGAAAAAATATTGACGTCATTTATATGCATTGAAAACAAGTCGCACATAGAACAATAGGCAAATTAAGGCATTAATTCCAACTTTCAAAACATAAAAGTTTTTCCCAATCGAAATGAAAATCGGAGAAAACTTATAAGTTAACTTAAATTAATATGTTGAAATATGTAGTATAAGCCCCAAAACTTTAACAACAGTTCGAAATTATGTTAAGTGCAAGTAATTAACTTTTGTTTTTTAATGGTTATTGGAAAATTGAAATTTTCATATAGAACATTCTCAAAGAAACTATAAAATTATTTCGATCTAATTTTAGTGGTTCATCATTTGAAGGTCAATGGCAAAATGGCCGGCGACATGGCCTTGGAGTAGAACAACGTGGTCGTTTAGTGTATAGGGGTGAGTGGACTAGCGGTTATAAAGGAAGATATGGAGTGAGACAAAGCACAACCTCTACAGCCAAATATGAAGGCACATGGGCCAATGGACTGCAAGATGGATATGGCTCTGAAACATATGCAGATGGTGGTAACTGCGACTTTTTATTTGAATAATTTATAATAAATTAAGAAGAAATAAGCGTGATTTCCAAGGAACAATTTTTATCACACAAGACTCTTGTAGAGCTATAATGAGAATTCTTAAAGAATAGTACTCTTATAATTTCAGTCTTGTAGAACATTAAAAGCGCAACTACTAGAGTTATCAATTCTTGTAATAAGAGTTAAGCTCCCATTAAAAAAGTTTTTAAAGCATATAACTCTCATACTAGTTTTGGTATACGAAAACTTTCACAAGCCATTTATAATAGTGTTACTAGAAAGAGAAAACAATACATTGTAGAATAAATATATCAGTCTTACTTCGTACTTTATAAAAAATATATCTATTCCGCTTTTAATAATTATTTTTTTAACAAAAATGAAACAAAATATACATACATATGTTTACGTATATGATGTGTAGTCAATAAATATTTGTATTCAAAAGTTTAATATTACAAAATTATAAATATGGGAAATTAAAATAATTTTTTTGCCATGATTATAAATCAAAAAGTTGATGGCATTAAAATTTTATTGATAAAAGTTGGTATTGCACTTAGAAAAAAAGCAACGCCAACCAAAAATAAATAAACTTTAGATAATTTTTATACATATAAAGAATATATACATATTATATGTATGTATATATTCTTTATATTCTAACCCTATAATATCTTATTTCCTTTTTGTCATAAATTTTGAAATTTAAGAATTGTTAAGCAAAAAATTAATATACTAATGTCCATAAATTCCAACTAAAGCTTTCCTATATTCAAATAAACTAAAATTTTGCTTTTCATTAATTTTAATTTAATAATTTTTGTACAATAAATATTTTTCGGACTTCTTTCCAAAAAAAGAAGTCTTAGTCTCATTAGGGTTAAAACTTAGATAAGGAAAAATGGCAATACTAAAATGGCTGTGCCTAACAACTAGAACAAAGGAATTCTTTTGAGAACAAAATTCTATAAGAGTTCACATCCTATAAAAAATACTTTATGAGAATTAAAATTTTTTATGGCTTGCTGAAAGTAGTTCTGCTATGAGAGTAGCAGAATTTTTAACACTACTTGCTAAGTCTTTATTGTAAGAACCTTACAAGAGTTGCATAAAAAGAAAAAAAAAGAAAAAGAAATTATGATAGTATTCGTGTGTGGTACGAGTGTTTTATGAGATTTTTGGTCAATTTTTTAGGTCATTACTCTTGGAAATTGTTACTTGGGTTTATTTTATCTTTGCTTTTCTTAAAAAAAAACGTTGAAAATAAAGAGTATTTTATTTAACTTTTTTGAAATAAAAATGAATAACTAAAGGGACATATGTAGGTATTTTTTTGCGTCTATTTGTTGCAAGTTTCATTATTTTCAGTTAGAGATTTTTGTGTAACATTACAAAACTTATATCTTACAATATTTTTGTATTTATAATTATATTCAATGTTCTATGTTATTCAAAAAAAAAATGCATTGAAATGATTTAGAATCCGCATTCAGAAAAATAAAAGGGAGGCAAAAATTTATTTTTAGATAATCACTCGAACTGTTGGCGGATCTAAGGAAAAAGAAAATTTGAGTAATCAAATTTCAATTCGTACAGTATTTTTTATAACAAAAAAAAACATTTTTTCGTTGTTTTTCGTATTTAGGAGTTTAAAAATTAGTTTTATAAAGGTTTAAAAAAATAGTATTATAAAGGTTTGTACTACATCTAAATACACTTAACGTCGCGCTGCTATTAAAATTTTCTAATTGTAGTATAACTGTACTGTTTTGATATTTAATAAAAATTAATGGTTAAACCATTAATATTTTTAACATTTTTTTCATTAAAATTAGTAAATTTATGTTTTATGCGGAATAATATCGTCTGACTAACGTGCAATTTATTCTTAAAAAATTAAATTTTGAGTAGAATTTTATTTACTTTAACTTTGCAAACATGGTTTATTATAGAAACACTCCGCTGCATAGGAGTGAAATGCGAAACACGAAGCGAACTTATTTATTGCACATATTATTTTGTATTATTATGCATATGAAATTGCAAGGATCTTATTCAACTTTGTGCTTACAGGATCATATCAAGGACAATGGCAAGAAGGTAAACGACATGGGTATGGTGTGCGTACTTCGGCTCCTTATGGATTAGCATCTCATTATCGACCAAAAACTGCAATGCACACTTCTATGAGTTCATTAAACAATGAAAATGCGGATCCATCGGATAAAAGAAATCACCGTATGGAGGATATTCGAGGCGGATTTGTGCTCCGAGCCAAATCAGATGATGAGCCAGCACGTAGAAATAGTCTTGGAGAAAAATCAAAAAAAGGAATTTTTTCAGTAAATATTTTGATTTTACTCCTTATTGCTTTAAAGTTATTTATTAATTATTTAAAATATTATTTTAAATAATTTTTAGGGACTTAAAATGAGAAAACAAAGAAGTGTAGGAGATCTTGAAAAAAGAGGTACTGCTGCATCTGGTAGCATAAGATCTACAGTTTCGACTGCTTCGTGGATAAGTACCGGTTCTTCACAGTCCGTATTATCTCAAAAGTATTTACATATAAAATTTACCTAATACAATTTTTTTTTATTCAAACACATATTCTTCTTTTTATATCATTTGATTCTTGATTATTTTTGAATTGATTTATTTTATTTGTTTTTTTTTTTGCGTTTACTCATTTACTCATACTCATTATAGATCAATCCATTCAGAGTCAAACGCTAGTTTCACCCTAGATGATGAGCAGTTAGATCCAAGTGTTGTAGAAACTTACATTGGTGAATGGAAGCGTGATAAACGTGATGGTTATGGTATTTCAGAACGCAGCGATGGTTTAAAGTAAAAAGTGCTTCCTTTTATCAAGCATATAATTTTAGTTATCAAGATATTTGTTTAGGTATGAGGGTGAATGGCACAATAATAAAAAACATGGCTATGGCGTTACAACATTTAGAGATGGTAACAAGGAGGAAGGAAAATATAAAAATAATATATTAATAACAAGTAACAAAAAAAAGCATTTGTTTTTAATTCGTTCCCGCAAATTCCGAGAACGCATCGAAGCATCAATCCAAGCAGCACAGCGAGCCTCTAAATATGCTTTACAAAAGGCCGATATAGCAATATCACGTACTGCAACAGCTCGTAGTAAAGCCGAATTCGCAGATGAAGCAGCGGATAAAGCTAGGGTAGATTGCGAGGGTGCTGTTGCTACGGCACGTGAATTTGCACCAGATTTTAAACCATCAGTTTTGGAGCGTTTCGAGCGCTTACGGTTTCGTGAAAGAGTTAGAGCACAACCATCAGATGACCCTGTATTACCTACTATGAAACAGGGTCAAAAAAATAGTTCTGGTAATCAAATAATGGGTAATAACCTAGATACTTCAGCTTTAAATCGCAAACCATCCATGATTCCACCATCGACGTTCGACAATCCACAAGTTCCGAGTACAATGTACTCTCAGCAAGTATCACCAAGAACAGATTTAACTCAGCATATTAATAAAATTCAACAGCATGAACAGCAAAGATATCAAACCAGATCACATCAAATTAACTCACCATCAACGTACCAACATCAAAATCAACCACAACAAATATCGTCGACATTAGCTCAAGCACAAAATACAGTAACAAACGAGCCCACGAACTTTTCTAACCCAAGCAATATTAACTTATCACAACAACAGTCCACGCAGAAATTTTCGCAAAAATCAAATACAAATCAATCATATGACAGTAATTACAATAGTAGAAATCAAACATACTTAGATTATGGTGGTATGACGGACACTTCTTTTAATGCCGCTAATCAACAACAGTCTCAATTAATAAACTCAGATAAAACTCAAAATTCTTTGTCCGGTTCTCGTACTAACCTGAGGAGAAATTCCCGCCCAGTAAATCAAACAAATAAGCCTATGTTAGGTGAAATTGGAACTCAATCATCAATAGATCATTTTGACCATTATAAACGACCGCCTAGTCGCGATAATTCAGTAGATCGTTATACTAGAGCTGCAAGCCGTTTAAGTGGACAATCACGTCCACCTTCAGTTGATCGTAATATTGCTGTAGCACCAATAATAAATAATACAACTTCCTCAGATGACACAACCCCAAATCGGAATGTGAGGGCAAGCTCACAATTTCGTGGATCAACTCCGGCTCCGCAAATATCGACTGGAAACGGTTCAGTACCAACCGGAAATAGTTTTACGATGTCTTCTATAATAACCCAAACCTCTACACCAAAACCCACGTATTCATCACCGAATCAGCCATTTGAAGATGTTTTGTTACGTCAACGGACACTAGGACAGGATATTATTCCTTCACCTTCGCAACCTAAACGAACTGAGAGCCTGTTTGTTACACAAAAAGTAACATCTCCAAGTAGTGGTGGAGCGGGTGGGATTGCTGGAAAAATTAAATTGAAGGTAAATTAATATCATTTATGTCTTTTTTTGCTTTGTTTTATTGTTTCTATATTAACACTTTGGAAGCTTTGAAAAGTCCTTTTATTCCCACATGTAAGTAATGTTTTAGAAACGAATTGTGTTCTGAGAGTACAGTGAATTTTTTTTAATTTTTTATTTTGAGCCTGGCTTTGATATACTCGCCTAATATATTTTAAACCATTCGTTGAAGTATGAGTATTATACATGAATAACTACATTATGTACATATAGCATAACCAAACATTAAGAAATTTAAATAAAACATTTAGAAATTATTATATCTTGTTGCTAATTTAAGTTCTTTTTAACAAGCTCAATGTTACGGTCCAGTTAAACTTTCAATCGTCGTTAAACTTCCAGTTAAACTTTGCTCGATACGCAATATACATACATACGTACAATTAAAGACTTAATATCTCACCAACAGCGCTCCCAAAAGTGAAGATTTATGTTCAAAATGAAGGTTTTTTGGTCATATTTTTGTGTGAAACTTCAAAATTAAGGTGTTTGCTACTAAAGTTTTTCAGAATTAGAATTTTTAGCGGATAATAACTAAATTTTTCAGAACTTGAATTTTTTGCACTCATTCCGTATATTCCATAGCACACAAAAAATTTGACCAAAAAGTTGATTAATTAAGTAACAAGTGTGTATGGTAACATTACTTCTATGACAAAAAATTTCTAATATCTTCCGCTACCATTAATTCGATATTAATCGACTTGGCGCATTAACTAAATGTGTATGCGGTTTATAACATCATCAGTGTTCCCACTCGGTAAAAACAAAATGTATCCAATTTCGAGAAAAAAATGTATCCAAAATGTATTCAACCTCTTAAAATACGAGTAGCATTATTCGTCGTATGTATGGGTAATTATTGGTTAATTTGTACAAAGTAGACTAAGGACTAAATAGACTAGTGTACAAATTAACCCAAAATTAATATTAATTTGCTTTATTCCACAATATGAGTTTTGTTATTTATAGTAAATTCTTTAAGAAATCACATACAACTTTTATTGCATTTTGAGTGTTAAAGTAAAGGTAAGAAAAAACATATGTATATGTTCTGTAGTTGTCGAACTATGCGGTAAAAACGATTTACTATGAAAACGGACAAATTTTAAAAAATATGTACAGCCAATGCATTTTCTATTACACCAACCTTACGCTGATATATTTCTAGTACGTTTTTGTAAAAATGTTCTAGATTCGAATACCAGAGACAGTTAACAAAGTTTCTTTTTTACTTTCTTCTAAAAAATTCTGAAATCTGCTTAGAGAAGCCAACAAATAACATTTTTTAAAAACTAATAACTTCGCGATCTAATATTAGCAGCATTTTAGCTGTTTTGTAATCTTTATTTAGTGTTTGGAAAAAAAATTTATCCATATTTTAGCAAAACTTTCAAATGTTTTTCAAAGTTTCAAACTCAAATTTAAAGCAAAAATGTATCCAAATAGATACAATTGTATCCAAGTGGGAATGCTGAACATCATACGTAGTTGTGCATGCCATTAATTTTTCTTCTTGGTGCGTGATTTGAAATCGTGATATTTCTTCCACTTTTTTCAATTGAATTTTTATTTGACGGTCTTAAAAGGTTAGTGAAGATTTTTTTTATGAAATCTTCGAAATGGAGATTTTATTTTAAAAAAATTAAGATATTTGGGCTAATCTATTTTGCGGGCTGTTCACAAATTGCTTTAAGGCAATATATAAGGCTAATAATGGAGTTAGAACATTTACTTTCGTACATACGTACATCTGTACATTAAATACATGTGGTCACATAAATACAATGAGAGCTCATAAATAGAATTACTTGTGACTTATCGACAAAAAAACTATATTTTATATACTTTATTTAGAACACATATTGAACTTGTTTCTATATATTACGTTATGTTATGTAAATTGCACATTAGTTTTAATATTTTGTTTTATAATACTGTAATATTTAGTAATAAATATTTAATGATTTAATAATAAAAATTTAATAAATATTTTGCATATTTTATATATAAGATATTTCGCATCAAGTGGCAAATAATTTCAGGAATGATTCTTTGATCAATTTCCATCAAAATGTTATAAGGGTGGGAAAGGAGAGGTCCAGATATATTCGTTTTCGAGCTACAGCCTGTTGAAAAAACGGGTCAACCATATACAACATAAAGAAAAAACCATACAACATAAAGTTATCATTGGGAGGTTGTTTTAAAGGCGATTGATTGCTTTTTATTTTTGGTTTTACAATTAATTTGGTTTGAGCCATAGTTTTCGAGATACAGCTTGTCAAAGTCTGAATTTTTATTTTTTTTTATTTCTTTATTTTTTTTAAAATTCGAAATTTCTCGAAAATTTTTGTTATTTGTTTTTGTTTCTTACGATATGCTGCGATAAGATCTAGAAGTTAACCCATATAACATTTTGCCAGTAAAACCTGTTAAATGTGTTCAAAAAACATGCGAGAAATGCATATTTCATACATTTCATATAAAGTTCAAATTGCACATACTAAACTAAAAAAATCTGATGTGGTCAGTACATAGCCGACCGCAATGTGTATTGTCTAGTTAAGTGAAAGTGTTACAGAATATTATGAAAATGTCTATTAAACACTTTTTTTCCAATTTTTAGGACATTAGTAAGCTTAAAGTTAACATACCTAGAAAAATGTAAATTTGGCTCTTAGTAGGGTTTCGCTTTGTGCTATCCGAATTCCCTGAAATGCTCGCCAGTTAGTTTGGGCAACAACTAGAACTCAAATGTCAAATTTCAAGAAATTCCATCAATTCGTTGCGTAGATATGGTGAAAAATGTAAAATCGGCCCGCAGATCAGTTTTCGAGCCCGGATCTTTCCAAAAAAAATTATATGTTCATTGTTTTAATATGGTGAATTTAAATATTAAATTTTTAATGAAATCGGTTGATTATTTTTCTTTATATACGCAAAAATGTATATTTGGCCCGTAGTAAACGTCCAGTTGCTGATGCCTGATTTCTTTCAAAAATTAGGAGGTTTGCGGAAGCTTATATATGAAATTTCAAGTAAATCGGTTGAATATTTTCTTCACAATGGTAAAAAATTTAAAACAGGCTGGCTAAAAAGTGCAGATCCCGAGGCCTAATATATCCTAAAAGCCATATACGAAATAAACTTGCATATAAAATTTCATCAAAATCGGTTCAGCCGAACTTGAGATACAGGCGTGCACACACAGACCGACAAACTGACAGACCGACAGATCGCCAGGCCGACAGGTTGTTAAAAGTAGTTTATTTACACTTCCCCACTATGGACGAAATAAACTTACATATAAAATTTCATCAAAATCGGTTCAGCCGAACTTGAGATACAGGCGTGCACACACAGACCGACAGACCGACAAACTGACAGACCGACAGATCGCCAGACCGACAGGTTGTTAAAAGTGATTTATTTACACTTCTCCACCATGAAGAAGTGCATTCCCACTGAAAATTCGATATGCAAAATTTGTTGCCATCACATAACTTACCTATTGTATACACAATACGGTCGGTAAAAATATTTGTGAATGTTGTGTGCATGAAAAATGTATAAAAAAAATGCATTTTTCACATGTTCTTAAATACTTACGTTAAACAAATTTTACTGGAAAAACTATGAAAGATAGATAAAGAGAAAAAAAATTACCCCTCACATAATTTTTTGCTGGAAATTTATCAAAGAATCATGCCTGAAATTTTTTGCCACCGTATGCAAAACACCCCTTATAAATACAAAATGTTCATATGTAGACAAGGTAAACAACTTTTTAATTACTATTGATTAATTTAAATTTTGATAACGGGCAGGATACGAGTATACCTACATACATAGTAATAATAAAACAAATTTTAAATTCTGACTTGGTTTACTACAACAAAACCAATAATTTTAAAAAAGAAAGCTAAAGGGTTATTAATATTTTTGTTTTAAGAAAATTATATCTATCTAAGAAGTAGTTCGACTCGTTCCATTCCGTCAGTTCTCGTTTGCTTGCCACCCTCAATATTCAAAATATTCCATTTTTATTAAGAAAAAGATGGTATTGAGAGTTGTGTAGGCAAGAAGGAAACTAAATATTTTAAACAAACGAGTCTATCAAAAACGCAGTACTGAACTAAAATTAAATTAAGTTTGTTATTTTTATAACAACAAAATTTATGTTTCAGAATATTTCATTTTTCATTTCATAAAAGTTAAGTACAAACATTCGAGTGTATGAAAGCAACTTAAAAATTTTATCTTTAATTGTTAATTGTACATATGTATGTATATAATGTACCTATGCATCGTAGATACACAATATAATATAGTAATATGTATACATCTCGTTTATATGGCTGCTTCAAGCCTATGGCTATATAAACCAGAGGCCCCGAAACTTTTTTCTCTCGTAAACCTCTTATTGTGTTTTTACCCCTTTACTTTTTTAATGGATTTAAATTTCTAACAGTACCAAGGTAGACCTATCATATGAAAAAGTTAAATAAAAAACTTATTTAATTAAATTCATATTTTTTGTTAAATTTAATTAATTAATTAAAACTAAAATTAAATGAAACTATTTAATTCAAATTTAATTAATTTAGCTATTAGATTTAAATAAGAGTAAAGTAAATCTTGCACGAGCAAAACTAAACAAAAAATAAATTCAATCATCACGTGCTTTTCCAGTCAATTAACATATTTATTTTTCATTTCGTATACCCCCATTTTTTTTTCATAGACCCCTAATATCTCAGAAACTATAAAAGCTGTGGTATAGAATTTTCACACAAAAGAATATATTATTAGGGCCAATGTGTCTTATAAAAGTCATTTAAATTGCTTGGCGCCTTCTGGACTTTAAAAGTTATTTGGCTATATCTCAGAAACTATAAAAGCTATGATATTAAAAACACAAGCGAATATATTGGTAGGGCCAATGTGTTTGCTAAAAATAATTGAAATTGCTTGGCTCCTTCTAGTAGCTGCCATACAACTTCAAAAGTTATTTGGCTAAATGTATCTCAGAAGCTATAAAAGCTGTGATATGGAAATTTCACACAAATGAATATTTAAGTAAGGCCAATGTGTTTGATAAATGTCGTTGAAGTTGCTTGACTCTTTCTGGTAGCAGCCATACAACTCCAAAAGTTATTTGGCATTATCTCAGAAGTTATTGAAACTATAATATAGAAATCTCGTGAAAACAAGGATATTATTAGGACTGAAATTTTGCATAAATTAATATGGTAATATGCCAACTTAAAGTCCTAGTCTGTCACATAGTTAGCTATGGTATATTTATACGCACATGGGATAAGAAATTCGTACGGGTATTACAGAGTTGATACGGTCAACTCTATTTTTTCTCTTTTTTTTAATATTATTTGTCTTTTTAATTTTTTTTTTATAATTTTTAAAAATAATTTACATATAAATAATTACTTTTTTATTTTAATACTCAATTTAAATCGCTTCGTTTTTATAATATGAATACACCATCATAAGGTGGCAACTTTGTGATGAAAAAAAATACAGAAATGGTTTTTTTATATACGAAATAAATGCTCTTGTATGCCTCTAAAAATATATTTAAAAAATTAGGTAGATATCTATTGCGTATTCTTGCTCTCTTCCAAAAATTCGTATGTGTATAATAATAATATTAAAAAGGTATAGTGTTTAGTTCTTTTACCTAAGGGAATTTTTGTACACAAACATTGGTGAGTGATTGCATTAGTGTGATGTAAACGAATAGTCGAACTACTTCTTAAATAAATATACTTTGATTTTAAGTGCATATGTATTCATTATAACTAATTAATCTCTGGTTTTTAAATGCTCAAAACATTTTTTCTAAAATAAAATAGCTTTGCAATTTTAGATTTTTTAATCACTTTGGTTTTTTCAAAAATTTTTTTACTCTCAAAATTAAAACTTTTTAGCTCAATAATTTTGTTTTTTTTTCTCCTTTTTGTCCTATTAATAAAAATACTCAAATTGAGTTGTTTTTCTAAATGAACTTTTTTGAATACGTTTATAGTATATAAATTTTGTTGGTATAAGATTTTTATATTTTGTTGCTACAGTTTTTCATAAACATAACTAATTGAGTAGTCTAGCTTTTGCAATAGCAGCAAAATAATTTCTCGGGCAAAAAAAAATTAAATTTGAAGTAAACCGCAGAAAAGAACGATGACAAAGAAAATCAAATTAAAAAAAAAAACAATTAATATTATTCAAAAGTTTTTTTTAAAGTAGATTTTTTTAAAATAATTAAAATTTGAATAAAAACGATAATTAAAAATAATTTATAAAAAATTATTTTCGAAAATATTGACTCATTATTATTACGCAAAAGAAGTAACAAATGAAAAGAAGGCTGACAAATTGTTACATAAAAATAAAAAAAATATATTGTATATACTCGTATATTTGAAACAGTGAATTTTCGAGTGTACGAGCTCGGTTACAAAAAATTATTAAAATTATTCAGAATATCGCCAATATTGCAGTAACTGCACTTTATTAATGTATTAAGTATTGGACTTAATTAAATTTAATTTAATTCCATTAATTAATTTGAAAATTTAACTTCAAAAAATTATTAGACTAAAAATAAAATATATTCTACATTTGTACATACATATGTTGTACAACAAAATATTAAGTGCGTTTTCTTTGTGTGTGGGAGTCATAAAAAATAACAATAATTTTTGACAATTGTTTTCACACAAATAAGAAGAGAAAAGGCAAAGCCACGCAAATCGTATACATACATTTGTATATCAAAAATTATAAAAGTATATTCTGAAATTTAGGAATTTAGGTGAAGCGTTTTAGAGACAAAGATTTTTAAAACTTTATGAAAAATAGGATATAATATTTAAAAAAAATTTTTAAATATGGAATGGTATCCAGAGGATGAGGAAGAAGAAGAATTGCAATTTTCACCAGCTTTGTTAGCCAGGCGAGCTTCTGAAAGTTGGATAATAGCACCACCAGTTGAGGTGATGTTGTAAATGAAATTTTTATCATTACATACATATTGTATTTTTAGCGCAAAAATATATAGTGATACATACATATATATACATATATATATATATATGTATATTTTTATTTTTAATTTGGTTTTAGGTTTAATTATTCACTGTACAAATTAAAGCAAAATAAGAAATTAAAAGAGGTGAATAAGTAGTAAAATACAAATGAATGTGACGTAAATTAAAATTCATAAATATGAGATGGCTTTAATTCTAAAATTCCCTACAAAAAACATTTGTACTAAATTTTAAACATTAATTAAAAACATTAAAAAACTAGAAATATGCCTGCAAAATAAATCAGGTTGGAATAAGTAAAACGTTATTAAAATTACTAGCAAAGAAAACTAATATTAGACAATTTTATAATACTTTAGATAGACACAATATTGTAATAAAACCGTTAATTGCAAAAAATGTGTATGTATTTTATAGAGCGTACCAATAAACGTTAATCTGCAGAGGAAAAAATCTTTACCAGATTTTCAAGAATTACCTATTGCAACTTCAATGATGAGTCGTGAAGAAGTCTCGGCATTAGGTTCTGCACGTCGTGAAGAAGTTCGCAGACAAGTTGAACTTAATGAAAGATTAAAAGCTAATCCTTTATTATATTTAGTCAGTCCACAAGTTAAGGTAAGTCTATGCCAATCAATTTCCCAAAATTTAAAATTATACATATATAAGCAAAATTAAAAATATTTAAATATACATATAGCAGAAAGAAACAAAAACCCGCTCGGTTTGTAAAAATATTGCAGGCATATTGCAAAATAAATAATTTAACTGTTTTTAATATATTCAAATTCATAATTTTTTTACTATCTATCATTTAAATTCATTTTAAATTTTAAGTAATTGAATTTTGCACTAAATTAAATTCCAAGCGTTGTTCATTTAAAAAAAAAATTAACTTGAAAACTAAAATTAGTTTTAAATATTTTTTTAGTTTTATTTTTTTTAAATTTAAATTACGTTAATAAATGCTAAAGCACGCATTAATTAAAATTAAACTGATTTTTAATTAATTTCTAAATTTTTATTTGTATTAGAAAAGGTATTAAACACTTTTTTATTAAAATTTGTTATACAGGATTGGTTCTCTCGTCAACAATTGGTCCTATTGGTGCTAATCGTCAATGTAGTCTTGGCAATAATGTTTTTCAAGATGTTAACATAGCGTCAACTAAATGTTGGCACTCAATATCCACCAAAATCTTGTTATTCAGTATCTATGCAAACAGGATGAATAATTTATTTTACTATCTACATATAAGAGAAACTACAATTTTTAAAAGAATGAAATTGGAAGAGAAATGGTCTCTTTTACGAGATAATTTGTGCAAATTTTTGGATAGGGAAGTATAAGAAAGATTTGAGTTTTTTTTCAATAAAAACAAATTTTATAAATTAATTTCATATACAATATAAGAAGATACATATATATAAAGATATAAAAAATTTTTTAATAATTTTTTACTAAAATTTAAAATTTTAAATACAAAATATATGTGTACTTTGGAATCGTATATATGTGTACATTTAATAAACAAAACCAAGAAATATGAAAACTTAAAAACAAAAAAAATCGTTTGATATAAATCATAAAACAAAAATCGAGATCGAAAATATAAAATTAAATATTAATTATAAAAAACATGATTTCTCTATCAAATTGCCTTCAGTTTATATATACATACATACAATTATATACTTACTCTATTTACAATTGTAACTTTAAAAACAAAAATTAATCACAATATCAAACTTAGAATTTAATATTAAAATTCATTTTTTTAACTATTCTCGATTTATTTAAATGCCAATTTTTTATGAAGTCTAGATATATTTAAAAAAAGCAAAAACTTTTAATTAAATTTTAATGTGTAATTAAAGATAAATGCAATATTTTAGAAGAACTGACAAAAAAAAACAATGTAAAAAGAAAAGTAATAAAAAATATTATGTTCATGACTAAAATATATATGTATACCCATGCATATAAATTAATTTAAATATACAAATTTAGCAGATACATAGTTATATATGTTTATAAAACATACATATATATATATATATATATATATATGTATACATATGTGTGTACATATTTATATTTACATACTTATATATTTATATACATAATAGTATCAATAATTATTGATTATAGTATGTACATACATGTTTTATTTTTAAACATTGACCATATTATAATATAATTGTAATGTTATGCCTTCGTTAAGTAAAAATCTAAACTTTTGTTAGAGTTATAAAAAAGTTATTTTTTAATTGACGAAAAATGCAAATAAAAAAAATTAAGGAAAAAGTTATAGAAAATAAACAGGAATTTCTTCCTTCTTTCTATATAATTGTTATAAAAACACCCAATTGAATGGGAAATAAAATGTTATTTTTTATTATGAATTTTATAAAAAAATTTATGCAATTTTTTACTTTTATCATAAAATTTTATGTATTTAAATATAAATTATAAAAAAAAATATACTCTTGTTATTATCATAATTAAATAAATTTAATGTTTCTTGTAAAATTTTGTTTTTTTACAATTTGTCATAAATATATACATACATACATGTATATATGCACATACTTAACTATAATTAGACATTTTTGCATATAATTTATATATTACTATAATTACTATTATTAATTTATATATTACTATTATTTTTCACATACTATATTACAGTATGTGAAAAAATATTAAATTTCGCAAAAATGGCTTCTTTGTGAGTGACTAATTTTAAATAATAATATAAAAATTTTTTTACAAAAATTTCTCATTTCTACCTCAGACAGATTTTTATTAAATTTTCTCTAATCTGTATTAGGCAGAAGTTTTTAAATATTTACATCCATACACACATCACTTATACACACATTTGTGTGTGTGTAATTTAAATATAAAATAATATTTGAAATCTATAAGGGAAAAAGGAAAATCATATTATGTATATATGTAGTTTTTGATAAAAGAAAAAGCCAAATGAAATATCCAAAAAAAATTTCAAATAAAAAATATTTTTTTTATAAAATATGTACTGTTAGACAATTTATTTTAAATTATTTCAGTATATACCTAATACATATATGTTATAGCACAAATATTTTTGTTTGGCATTTTTATTTGGCGTTTAGAATGTAATTATCTTTCAATTTTAATTTATTATAACACACGAGAACGCTAGGAATTCGCAACAAGCGTCTAACATTTTTAGGTAATGTTAAAAAGTTAGAATCTTATATTAGGCATTCGTAGTTCTAAATTAACCCTCAGTTATGCGAAAAATACAAAATAAAACTATTTTTTTTTAGTTCAAAAGAATGTTTGCGGAATAGGACAACAAATTAAAATTTAATTTAGTTTAGGAAATTTTTTTCGAAGTTGTAATTAAATCTAAAGTAAATTACACAAATATTCAAGTTGTATAAATTTATATACATAAATGTATCAAATTATTTTATCAGAATCGCTAACCTAATATATAAGTATGTGGAAAATTTGTGAATAATAAGTTTTGGAATTTTGCATTTTGAAAATATAAAAAAAATACTTTAAAAAAATTGTGAATTATTCAAATTTGTAATTTTCATTGAGAAGTTTATTTTTTGCTGGAATAAAACTATTCAAAATATAAAATTATTTAATTATTTCGTTAATGTTGAATATACACATGTATATACACATATTTATATGTTTTGTCAAGTCACAGCCCTTAAAGAGCAACTTAAAAATGATTTTATAAGAGCAACTTAAAAATAGTTTCGTATTTTAATAAATACGTATTCAAAACTAAATCAAATTGGGTAAATATTGGATATTACTGTAAATTTCCTAGAAAAATGCATTTAAAAAAATAAATTATTAAAATTTTTAACTTATTTATTGAGTTGTCTGAGTCGTTATTAACATTCATTGAAGAATGAACATTATTGCTTCTTAAAAGTTTGGATACCTTAACGTCATTGACTCAAACCTTAAACATATTACAATTACTTTAATTGTAAGCGCAAATGATCGAAAATTTTCGATTTTTTATTTTACATACTTTCTTGCTTGTAAAAAAGAGTGCTTCAGGTCATTTTCGTTATTTGCAGAGTCATTATACACGCTCTGACTCTTAAAAGTTTGCTCTTATTAGATCTGTCTGGAATAAGAAAGTTTTTAAAAACTTTTAAAAACTTTATAAAGTTTTTGCATGCAAAGCGTCTGGGACACGCTTTCTAGGGCCTCAACCCTAAGAGAGAGTAACAGTTCACAGCTGACGAATTTAAATACGTATTCTTATGGGATCTATAGAGGACCCTTTTTAACACCATAAATCTCATACAAGATCAACTTTTTTCAAATTTTTAATTGGAAAAAGTTAAAACTCAATCTTTTTCTACTTTACTAGTGCTTACATTCTTAAAGTTTTGTGTTATTAAAACATTAAAAAATTGATTTAAAAAAAATCTTCCACGTTCCGTTCATTTTTTTAAGATTTCAATAAATGCTATACTACAGGAAAAAAAATAGTGCATTTTTTTTTCGAAGTATTTAGTTGCACTAAAATCAACTGAAAATTTTCTTTTCAAATTTTAGAAAATTGTACATTTAATATTAACGAGTTTGCTAATTTTGTATGATATATCTCCCACAATGCATACTTCTGATATAATCACATATATATCTATATATTTTTCATGTGTATACTACATTAATTAAACTTATATGCCTCATAATTCATAAACACTACTGCATATGTGAATTCTTTTTATATTAAAAGTCCATATAATTTTTTTATATGTATGTACATATGTATATGATTATAGTTTTATTAGGAATTATTTTCACATTGTTAGTAAGGCTAATTGGATAATTTACCTAAACTACCGCATCAAAAACTTTAAAACTTATGCAAGTTCCTTTATAATTTTTTTATTATTTTTGTTTTTTATAGGGGACAACTTGAAACGTGGCATCTTTATAACGATTATAAAATTAAAATCAAATAATTAGAAACTTAAATTAAAATTTAATAAAATTTTTATTAACTTTATATTAAGTCATGTATTCTTCACTAAAAAATATAGCAATTTTACAAACCCATTCGCAAAAAAATCAGGGTCTAGGCCACACTATATCTTTTGATAAGCAAAGTACAAGTAGTTCGATTCTGCGATTACATCACAATAATGCAATCACTAACCAATTTTGATATACAAAAAATTCCCTTAGTTAAAAGAGTTAAGCAGTATACCTTTTTATTTTCATTTTTAAACACATAAGAATTTTTGGGAGAGGGAAAAAGTATGCAATAGACGTCTACCTGTTTTTTATAATGTAGTTTTAAAAGCGGGAGTTATTTATTTTTTCGTGTATAAAGTATAGGAAAAAATATTAAGAATTTCTGTAACTTATTCCAGTACGAGGTGGCAGAAATGGTGTATCCATATTATAAAAGCGAAGTGATTTAAAATTTTTATTAAAATTCTTAATATTCTTTCCTATATTTTATATACGAAAAAATTAATAACTCCCGTATTTAAAAATAAATTATAAAAAAACAGTTAGACATTTATTGCGTATTTTTTCCCTCTCCCAATAATTCTTATGTGTATGGAAATGAAAATAAGAAGGTATACTGCTTAACTCATTTATCAAAAGGAATTTTTTATATACAAATATTGGTGAGTGATTGCATGAGTGTGATGTAGACGGAGAGTCGAACTACTTATTAATAGATATACTTTGCTAAATACGTTATAAATAAAGTTGGGTCAAACCAATGGTTTGTATTGTAGCACTTTTCCCTTCAACAAGTGAAAATACTGCTTTGAAAAACAATCGATGTTTACTTGAAAAACAATCTACCACACTACCAAAATTATTTTGACTCATATACGAAACTATTTCTAGGATTGCACATATTTAGGATGAAGGAATTATGCAGTCTTCGAAACAAAGCAAAAATTTCTATAAAGAGGGGTTAACATAATGCCCTATTTTAAGGTTTAATTGTGTGAGTTAAGAAAAATCATTATATTTTTTAATGTCATGGAATTTACCGTTAGCTTTTTACGTTTATAGAAATTTGAAAAAGCTTGCGGTTTCGGAAATATAAGGCGTCAAAAATTTAAATTTTACAAATTTCAAGAGATGATAACTTGAGGGGGGCGGAGATGGAAAAAAATTTTCTTCTAACGAAATGAATTATTTGTTAGTGCCTAAAAGCTACTAAAATTTCAGGTTCCCACATCCTGGGTTCTAGAAGAAAAACAACATCCAAAATTTGAAAAATACAGATTTTATGTAATGGTAAATTTTAACGGCCATTATGTTTTTTTACAGTTCAAGTATAGTAGCCGAGATAAAAGAATATGAGTTTTGGAATGTTGAAAGATGTTATATTTATCAATACTTCTTGAATGAAATGTTAATTTTCAACTATTGCTATGAAATTATCATTAAATTATGTGCAATAATGGCTGTATTTGAATAATGTTTTTGGAAAAAAGCTAATATTTCTGGAAATTTTTCCATAAACTTATCAATTGACCAAATGCGTCCTGGGCAATCATGAAAGAACCAATGCTTTTACATCAAATAACGTAAAAAGTGCTGTTAGATACTCAGAAGATGCTTCCAAAATTTCGGAAGATTATATAGATAAGAACCTAAGAAAGGCACGAAAACTAAAGAAACTGACAATAATGCAATGCAAAAACCTAAAGAAATTGACAGTTGCTTAATGCAAATGATGCAAGACATGCTACAAAAAATTGTCGAAACCTCAATGAGATTAACTACTATGGAGAATAGACATACTAACGTATATCTAGCAATACCAAAATTTCTGAAAAATGTCAATAAACAAAATAAGCTCGGTACGTGCAGCGGTAATGGAGTTCTATTCAATATTAATTTTATTCTATTCAATATTAATTCTGAAATTCAATATTAATTTTATTACAGTATATTTTCCATCAAGATGCAACATAAAAAAGGATATTTTTAGAATCTCCTATGCGTGGATGGAAATGGATTTGTATTGGGAGGTGGCTATTGTTATGCTAAACATGTCGATTGGGGCTCTAAATTGACCTCAACTAGAGGTAGAGACTTAAGGAAAGCTATCCGAAAATTGGGATGTTCCTTATTGGCCTACTGATACCAAAAAAGTCCCTGATCTTATTGACCTTTTTATATCTAAAAGGATTTCGGCAAATTTTGAATTTGGAAGATGATTTAAATTTGAATCCCGATCAGTTTGCTGTAATATTAACCCTGAATTAGAAAATAGCCACAGATTGGTTAGTCTTCAAATATGGTGTTGTTAGAAATATAAATCCCAACGCTAAACTGCAGATTATAGATCAACTAGTTTCTGAAATAGAGGGTTTCATTAAATTGATACAGAAAGTCGCCTCGAAAAACACAAAATTCTTTGAATTCAGACCTGCACCGAGTAATAATCCTAACGCAGACGATAAAATGATTGTGAATAGACCTTCTCAAAAACACAAAAGAAAAATAGAAAATTTTAAATCAGTATCATACCACATTTTTATAAAGAGCTTATCGGCAACTAAAGAAACCAATTGTTTGTTCTAGACCCCAAACTGAAACAACTAGATAAATCATAGTCAAAAGGCAATAGGGATAAAGCAGAAATATTTACTGATCACTTGGAAGAAATTCTTCAACAAAATAGACTGAATACAAGTGTTTGTTTAGTAGGAGGTCTTGTTATGGATGAAAATTTGCCAAGCAATAAAGTCGCTTAAATTGAATAAGGCCCCAGGTTTTGATTTCATTACTTCTGAGATATTAAGGGAATTGCCGAGAAAGGCATTGACATTTTTTAAAACACTGATAATTACAGCATTAAATCTGATTTATGTTCCTAGTGCTTGAAAAGTAGTCAAAGTTATAATAATATGAAGTTCACAACTCTCAATCTAGAAAAGAAAAAGTTAATTTTAAACGCCTTGATCCAGAAGTTACTTTGTTATTACCAATTTTGGATCACACACCGTCAAGTAAGTTTACATACTACATAATTATTATATAAGAGCTATAAAGTTTTATTTATTTTTTTTTCTTTTTTCACTTCTTGCGATGAGCATAGGGCTGGTGCATAATATCATGCCCTAGTTTTCTTGCGTCATAGACTTTTAACTAGATAGGTGATTTTCTTTTCGTATTAAATATTTAAGTTTATTAATGTTTACTGTTTATTTTTCTTAGTTTTTAATATCGAATATTATGAATATATGAAAATTACTTGTATAATATTTATAAGTATTGTATAATAAGTTATAATATTATATATAATTTTTATAATGATCTAACTGGGGTTTGAATTCGAGACTCTTTTTTTAAAGGATCGGTGCCATAACCACTGCACCATTGGTCAGATATATAAAATTTTATTACATAATAGCAAAATGTTAGAGAAGCTTATAAAAACCCATATCTGAGCTTATACTCATATGAGAACACACACATACATATGTTCTCAAATATCAGTTGTATCACAAGTTTTAACAATTATTATAAATATTTTATCTTAATAAAGCAACGTTTCTCAGTAGCTCTTCACTTTGCCGAGTTATCTATTCTTACAAAAATTGCAAAATGTGCAGTTTTTAGCTGGTGTCAATAATTGTACGAGTACCTTCATAGTATACAGCTATTGACTGTACAGAAATTCATCAACAATTGAACCAATTATTGACACCTTTATTTTATAACCGTTAATAACTTGTTTTTCATTTTGATTATATAAACATAAAAAAGTTCATTCATTCCAAAAGTGCAACAATTAGACTAATAAAGTTGGGTCAAACCAATGGTTTGACTTTTCCCTTCAAAAAGTGAAAATTCTGCTTTTAAATACTGTATTAAAATTATAACTATTAAAATTATTTTCATTGATATACAAATATATGTAATCCTATTTCTAGGATTGCATATATTTAGGATGAATGATTTATGCAGTCTTTGAAATAAAGCAAAAATTAATATAAAGTGGGGTTAACATAATGCTCGATTTTAAGGGTTAATTGTGTGAGTTAAGAAAAATGATTATAATTTTTAATGTCATAAAATTTACTGTTAGATTTTTGGGTTTATAGAAATTTGAAAAAGCTTACGGTTTCAGAAATATAAGGTGTCAAAAATTCAAATTTTACAAATTTCAAGAGGCGATAACTTGAGGGGTGGTGGAGATGAAAAAAAATTTTCTTTTGACGAAATGCACTATTTGTTAATTGTCTAAAAGTCCCTAATATTTCAAGCTTCTGCAGGCTGGGGTCTAGAAGAAAAACGACATCAAAAATTTAGAAGAAAAGGACTTTATATAGGGTGTAGAAGTTTTGTAAACAAAAAAAGTGCCCACGGACGGACGGACGGACGGACAGAGTGAAACTAATAAGCACTTTTTTTCAAAGAATTTGGAAAAGTGCTAAAAATATAGCAGGAATCTTAAAAAATTCTAAATTTACATATTAAAGTTCTTAATGATTTTGACTATTTTTTTTTGGCTCAAATAAATTCTGTAATATTCTTTTTTTATTTTTTAAATTAATTGAAATTTATTATATAATTAATAAAAATCTATTAATTATAAAATAATTAATAAATTACCTACTAATTAATTAAAATTTATTATATAATTAACGAAGAATGAAGAAAATGTCAAATAATTTGAACCCAGAATAAACTTTTGTGATTAATAATTTTAAATACTCGAAAAGCGCTATTGCAATTTGGGTGTCAATAACTGTATCAGTTTTTCGGAGTATCAATAATTGTACCCGTTATGCTATGCCTTTTTTACAAAAAAAAGGGAGAAAAAAAAATAGAAGAAGAAAAAAAAGAGTAAAAGGACAGAAAAAAAAATTTTAATTTATATAAAAAGAAAGCAAAAAGGAAGCAACAACGTGGGATCCTAGAAAAAGAAAAAAAATATGTAAAAGAATTCGCAAGATGCAAATGAAAAGTTATATTTAAAGTAAAGATATAATAAAGTTTTAATTTCAATTAACAATAATTATATGCATATTTCCAATTGGTTGTTTCTCAATTTTTTTTTGTATTTTTTTTTGGAAAATTTGTTAATATATTTTGTTGGAAAAAATAATTTAATTATAAAAATAATTTTTATTACTATGTTCCTTTTTGGAACAGATTTATATTAAGTTTAAGTACGCCAGTACTTGAAAAAGAAAAATATATCGTATATGTACTTGTAGAACAAAAAGAAGAAAAAAGAAAATTTTTTTTTTTTGGAAAAAGGAAAACAAATTATGTCGAATTATTAATGGAAAAGTTAAATAAAATAAAAATAGAATTAAGTTTAATTAAATTTAATATGAAGGAAAAGAAAAGAAAAAATTCAAGTTTTTTTTTTCTTTGTAGAAGTTTTTTTTCACAATTGCACTAGTTACAAGGTATAATGCGCTATTTAACTTGAAATCTAGGCTTTAAGTACAATATTAATGGAATTGTAAGTCCATTCCCCTTTGGTGTGTCTGAATTTTAGTGATTTTTAGAGCAAAGCTTGGAAGTCTCAATACCAGGTGTTCTGGCAGGCCGCGGGCCGGCACGTATTCCTGGTTCGTGTTGCGAATGCAATTTGGTTGTGAACCGTCATGAACTCAATCTTTTGGAGTATTATCAGTAAGTGTGTGTCTCCGTAGTGTCATTCATTGTGTGTGTTTGTACAAATGTTTTTACGTAGTTCAAAACAACATGAAAAATAAACCTAAATGAACGTAAATCTGCACATGTAAATTTCACAAACAAAAGTTTAGTAAACCCACCACATTTAAGTTTGAATGATGCTTAAAAATCAATCCAAAACACAGCGAATAAAGCCACACCTAGATATGACTTTAGATGTGAAGCTCGGATGGAAAGAACGTGTAAAGAAGAAAAGTATAGAATCAGAGAACAACCATAAAAAAACTAATGGTTAGTCAGTTTGACTTGTTTTAGGAATTAATGACCATCCAGGTGCGTGTTAGGTTAGATTAAGAGAGCTCACTATTGATACGTCTGACGACAGTTTGGCTCTGCCTATTTTTGTCTTTCTATGATTTTTAACACTTGTATTTAAAAACAAAAAACAATTAAGACATTACAACAGTACATCTTTGAAGGCGACAAACACTAACGAAACAGCAGAGAGCACTATTAATCACTTAACTCACCAACACTATATCACAACTATAAAACACTACTAATACCTTCTACCACGTATCCCACATTAGATCTATGAAATAGAGCAATTTCTCTTACACTAGAAAACATCCAAACCTCAGATAGAAATATAAGATATATTTCTATATATCACGTAAATGATCCACTACAGCCAAATGTGAAAAAAACACATCGAAGTTATTTCTCATGCTATGGACGTTTTGACGAACAACAGAAAATCTATTGCAAATATTAAAAGTTCGTTTCAGTGCACAAAAACTTTTTTTTTTCAAACCATTTTCGTTAGAATCCAGAAGAAGACTTGTAGATTGTAGATTCTAAGGGAACCGAGTGGGACAGGAGCATCCCCCCAAGCCACCGCAGCCATTTTTGACTTATTGTAGCCCCCCCACTCTCCCGTCTATAATATCCCCGTCCCAATCACAAAGCCGGAGATATCCCTAAGGGAGTTGGACAACAGTTCCCGAACACTTAGGGACCCATGTCCAAGACAATTGCGGCGCCGAACAGCTAGTGCCGGACACTCGCAGAGAATGTGCAAGTTTAATTTGTTACTTTTTTTAATAAAACAACAAAAGGTTTTTTAGTAAACAACAAAAGAATTTATTTTATTTTATTTTTTTATATTACTAAATCTGACGAAACCAAAACTTAAACTAAATTTTATTTTTTAAAATCTTATTATTAAAGTATTCAAAAATCGAAAATCGATTTTTGTTCAATTTTTTACATAGTAACATATTTTATCAAAACAAGAAAAAAATTATATTTTACGTAACATTCTTCTTTTCAAATGCAATAAATTTAGTTTGTTGCACTTGAAAAGGAAATTGTGAAACAATTTTTATTTTGCCGTTTTGTAACATGATTCCTCAACTTTAATGAACGAAAAAAAATAATTTGAAAAATAAATGTGTTGAACTTGAAAAATAAATGTGAAATTTGATCTTTATATTTTTTAATTCTTTATTAAAAATTAGGATAGGTCAAGTACTTGAGAATAATAATAAGAAATTATGATTCTTATGTTTGAATTTAGATTATTTAAGTGGAAATTATAAGAATCATATAATAAATTTTATATTTTATTACTCTTAGAGCTAAATAGAATTCAGTTCTATTATTCTAGATAATATCTCATTAGTTGGATATATAACTCCCCCATCCTTAAGATATTTGTTCTCCTGGACAAAACGTTGAGAATCAATTTTGTTTATATTATTTAGAGGTTTTTCTTTTCTTGTTTTAATTAACATATAAGTTAAAATGATTAAAATAAAAAGCATTATTATTACAAAAATTGTATTAAAATATGTTAAATTTTCATTAAACTTTCTTTTATTTTTAATTTCATGAATTTCTTTATTATTTTCTAATTGCTTAAGATTTAAATTTTCTAACTTAATTGTATTATTAATATTTTTAATTGTGGTATAATTCGGAATAACGATATTATACTTAAACTCTTTATTTTTGTTTGAAAATTTAATATTATTTATTTCAATAGTACAATTGCTAAAGTAAATTATATAATTTTTATTTAGTAAATATGTTATATCATTACAATCGCTCTTTAAAGTATGGTTTTGGGCATTTATTATTAAAATCATACCTTTATTAATTTCTTCTATTTTATAATTTTTTTCAGTAGTCTTAGAACAGTCACCATATGCCATTATAAAAAGATTTGAAATACAATTTGAAGTTAATTGCAATTTCTTTATATATCTTTCCTGGGTAAGATAATATGTTTTATTTTTAAAAGATACAATATCAGAATTTGGAATATCGACTAGTTCAAATTTTGAATTTGGTAGTCCAAATATTTTATATTTAATAGCTTTTTCATTACTCAAAATTGGTATTGCCTGAAAAGAATTTATATTTTCTTTTAATCCTGGTAGGGTGTAAATTTTTATTATTAGTATCTGTAATTTTATTTTCGTATTTTTTCACTTTAATTTTCTTGTAGCGAGGTAGTTCTTTATAACGGACTATAGCAGGGTTTTGTATTAATATTTCAGAGTCATTTGGGATTTTGAAATCTTTTCTATTTTTATTTAATTTACCTAAGATTTTCTCTTTTTTTTGTTGTAGCCTATCTTTGATTTCCTGAAAGTTTGAGATTTTTCCACTAATAAAATCCGATGGTCTAACTTCAGTTACTGAATGAAGCGTATTATTATAATATTCTACGGCTTTTAAAATTTTGCTTTCAGTGTCTAGATTCGGGTCGGATATAGTTAATATTCTTATATGTTCTATGACAGTTCCGTGAGCCCTTTCTATGTCTGAATTACCAATATGACTTCTTGGTGAAGTGAAATGCAGTTCTATATTTTCTAATCTACAAAAATCTTTCATATTTAAGCTATCAAATTCATTATCAAATATAAATTTTTTTGGTTTCCCAAACATGGAATTTTTTAATCTTAACGCTTGAACTATTGTGACACTATTTCTATCGCTTAACTTGAAATTGAGAGGTGTTTTGAAAACTTATCGATCGTAGTGAGAAACACTTCCTTCTTTAGATAAAAGGTGTCACCATGAACTATTTGGTTAGGTTCAGAAGGTGTTTCGGACAAATTAAATTTATATTGATTTGGGCTTCGATCGTACTTTGCCAAATTACAAGTGTTACAATTATTTATAAATTTATAAATGAAATCTTTTAATTTTGGATAAAAATAACTATCTTTGATTTCATTAAAATTTTCTAATATTCCGCGATGATTAGTTTTTTCGTGAAAATTTTTTATAATATTAATGAGATCATCTTCATTTTCTACATCTTGAGCTAATTTAGTGCATTTAATTAATTTAATTTTTCTATTATTACTAAACAATTCAATTAATTTTCTTTGTAAAATATTAAATTTACTGTCATTTAATTCCGAATAAATTGCAGTTGTACCGTTTTTTATAAATCGCCTTAAGAAATCATTTAAATAATTTTCATTGTTTAAGTCTTCTTCAGAGATAAAAATTTTTCTATATTTATTGTATTTTATAATCAGTTCACCAGGTTTCTTTGCTACAAGATGAATCTGATTTAAATATTTATTTACGATGTTTTCTACAGTCGGAATGTGATCGCCCAAATTTTCGACGCCACTATGAATTGTAGCTACACCGCTTTGATTTTCTGACAAAACATTATTCTGTAATACATTAATTTCATTATTTTCAACATTAATTCTACTTAAAAAATAGGCAACTTTATTATCCTTGCCCTTCACATATTCGATATCAAAATTGAACTCATTTAGTTTTATTCTCCATCTTTGGAGTCTTGAATTTGGCTCTTTTAAAGAGTTCAGCCACACCAAAGGCCTGTGATCCGTCTTTATCGTGAATCTAACACCATAAAGATACGGTCTAAAATATTTTGTAGACCATACGATTGCTAACAGCTCTTTTTCTATAGTACTGTAGCGAGTTTCATGGTCATTTAATGTTCTACTGGCAAATGAAATCGGATGGCCGTTTTGCGATAAAACAGCTCCAATCGCAAAATCACTTGCATCGGTAGTCAAGGTAAATTTGTAATTAAAATTTGGATATCTTAAAATAGGATCACTTATAATAATTTCTTTCAATTTTTCAAAAGCGGCAATATATTTTGGATTACTTACATCGATTTTATTATCCTTTTTCAAACAGTAGGTTAAAGGTTGCGCAATTTTTGCGTAATCTTTTATAAACTTCCGATAATACCCGGTTATCCCAAGAAAGCTTTCAATTGATTTTCGAGAGTTTGGAAGTTTAAGTTTTTTTATAATATCAATTTTTTTTGTATTGGGTCTTATTCCTTTGTCTGTAAGAAGATGTCCCAAATATTCCGATTCCTTAGAGAAAAAGAGACATTTGTCTAACTGAATTTTTAAATTAAATTTTCTAAGTTTTTCAAAAATTTTTATTATAGCATTTTCATGCTCTTGAAGTGAAGTACTGAAAATTAATATATCATCAAGATATACAACGCAGTTAATATTAATGAAGTCGCGTAAAACGTAATTGATCATCCTCTGGAATGTTGCCGGAGCATTCTTTAAACCGAATGGCATCCTGACAAACTCATAATGTCCTTGAGGAGTCGAAAAGGCTGTTTTTTGCTGATCTTTTTCGTCTACAAGGATTTGGTGAAATCCTTTAGCGAGATCAAGTGTTGTGAAGTATTGGGCTTTTCCCAATTTATCGAAAAGTGATTCTATATTTGGAATCGGAAATTTGTCTTCTACAGTTATTTCATTTAACTTCCTATAATCTACGACGATTCTCCATTTTTGCTGTCCCGATTGATCTAGTTTTTTAGGGACCACCCAAATTGGAGAATTATAGGGAGAGCTACTATGTTTAATTATCCCCTGTGATAGCATCTCCTTAACCTGATTTTCGACTTCCAGTTCATGAATTTTAGGAAATCTATAAATTTTTGAGTAAACAGGTCGACTATCGGTTGTTATGATTTGATGTTTTATGCAATTGATGTTGGTTAAATTTTGACCTTCTTGGTAAAATAGGTCCCTATTTTCATAAACAATTTTTTTCAACATTTTATGTTCTTCATTATTGAGATGGTCAGTTTTGATATAATCAAGAATATTGTTATTTTTAAAGTCTAAAGAATATAGTTGGTCAACAACTTCATAAGGACAAGAAAATTTAAATTTTGTTATTTTTCCCATAATTTCAATAAAGTGTTGTTTTAAATCGATTTTTGCAACAATATTTCTTAGAACATTTTGACCCAAAATTGCATCAAAACTTTTATTTTTTAAATTAATTACCCTCCAAAGTATCTGAGCTTTATGATTAAATTCGATGGGAACATCAGTTATTAATGTGTAATAAATTTTGCTCTTTCCAAATAAAGTGTTTAGTTCTACAGGCTCTTTTAATTTTGTCTTTTTAATTTCTGGGAATAGTGAGTCATTAATGATAGAAGTTGTGGAGCCTGTGTCAATCAAGCAATTAAATTTTTTATTACCGATAGTAAATTCTACTATTGGTAGAGTGTTGTCCGAGGCTGTAAATGAAAATTTTGTTCAGAGTTATTTTGTGTGTTATTTTGCGTTATTGTATTTACGTCAACATCCATCGGTTCTGGAGATTGGTGATTTCTATTACTATTGTTAAAATTTATTGTTCTATTGAATCTACTTTGTTCTGAGTTATTATAATTATTACCAGAATTTCTACTAAAGTTATTTATTGTTCTATTGAATTTACTTTGCCCGGAGTTATTATAATTGTTATTAAAACTTCTACTAAAGTTAGAAACATTACGACTACCACTATTATTATAATTATTATTATTATTGTTATATCTGTTATTATTGTGAAATATATTTCGGTTACTTCTTTGATTTGGAAGTCCCGCATGATTTTGATTTCTTTTTGCAATATAATTTTGATTTTTATTATTATAATTTGAATTACACGTAATGCCAGTTTGGCATAGTTCAGAATATGCTTCTTCTAAACTTTTTACACCTTTTATTCTCAGGTACATATTATCTGACCGCGGAAGTTTGTTCAAAAATTTTTCTAATATACTATGTTCATTATTAGAAGGCTTAAAATCTATCGGACTATCTGGATCTAACTTATATTTTAAATTTAATTTATCTAAAATTATAGTTAATTCTGAATAAAATTGACTTACATTTATAAATTTGACAGCGTCGGCCATTTCCTTTAATTTCAGGTACGACTCTGGGATACCAAATGATTTTGTTAGTTGGGTTTTAATTTCGTCCCACGTTGCATTTTCTAATCGCCTAATGCTAATAGCTGCTTCTCCTTGAATTTTTGACAAAATTGTGTTCTTGAGGTATGATTTCATCTAATTTTAGATTTTTTCTTTTTATGAAATTCTTTTTGTTTTACTATGTTCTTTTATCGCCATAAATTTTTTTAAGAAAAAAACTAACGCACTTTTTTGTTTTCAAATAATATTTTAGTTCAGACCCGTTTTAAATTATTGATACTATCTTGATTAATTTAAACGAATGGTCTTAGTAATAATAAATAACTTTTTGTTATTAATATTATAATGATTTTATTTCGGTAAAGTTTAATTGTTTTGCATTTTTTTTTTTTTAATAATTAATTACTTTATACCGAATGGCGTCAGTTGGCGATCCTACCGACTGCGCCAGTTTAATTTGTTACTTTTTTTAATAAAACAACAAAAGGTTTTTTAGTAAACAACAAAAGAATTTATTTTATTTTATTTTTTTATATTACTAAATCTGACGAAACCAAAACTTAAACTAAATTTTATTTTTTAAAATCTTATTATTAAAGTATTCAAAAATCGAAAATCGATTTTTGTTCAATTTTTTACATAGTAACATATTTTATCAAAACAAGAAAAAAATTATATTTTACGTAACATTCTTCTTTTCAAATGCAATAAATTTAGTTTGTTGCACTTGAAAAGGAAATTGTGAAACAATTTTTATTTTGTCGTTTTGTAACATGATTCCTCAACTTTAATGAACGAAAAAAAATAATTTGAAAAATAAATGTGTTGAACTTGAAAAATAAATGTGAAATTTGATCTTTATATTTTTTAATTCTTTATTAAAAATTAGGATAGGTCAAGTACTTGAGAATAATAATAAGAAATTATGATTCTTATGTTTGAATTTAGATTATTTAAGTGGAAATTATAAGAATCATATAATAAATTTTATATTTTATTACTCTTAGAGCTAAATAGAATTCAGTTTTATTATTCTAGATAATATCTCATTAGTTGGATATATAACTTGCACGGCGGTCTCATCGCCACCCCCACAAAATCTGCACAGGGGGGAGCCCGACTTCCCCAGCCTATGCAGGTGGTACTTCACCGGGCAGTGCCCCGTGAAGAAATTCGCAATAGTGCGAACCCGGCTCCTGCTCATCCCCAGCAACTCCGCGGCGAATCCGCCGGAGCACGCCGGAAGAAACACCTTCGCATGACGGCACCCTTTCGTGTCCCGCCAGTGACGGCCGCATTCCGCCGCGAGTAGGCTGGCAAGCCTGGCCCCCACGGCGGAAGAAGGCAGACCGCAGAAAGGCAGCCCCAGATCCCCTCCGCGCCAACTCATCGGCAACTTCGTTGCCCGCATGACCACTATGGCCCGGCACCCAAATGAGCATCACTCTGTTCTCCGATGCCAATTCTATAAGTGCAGCAAGGCAGCTCCATGTCATCTGTGAGTCGTTGCACAAACGAGGGATTGATGCGACGACTAGCAGATGGGTCAATCGGATGCTACAGGATAGGATTATTAAGTTCACCATAGCTGACGATATACTCTTCATCTCCGCTGCAAAAGGATGTCCGCAGGGCGGGGTTCTTTCGCCCCTCCTGTGGCCCATTGTAGTGGATGATCTAATCGCTGCTCTCAGGGGCTCCGGGGCGCGTGTCTGGGGATACGCTGACGATGTGGCCTTCGTCGGGCGGGGAAAATTTGAGAGCACTATTTCTGATCTTCTACAGCAAAATTTACATGTTGTGGAAAGGTGGTGCAAAGGCGTTGAGTTAAATATAAATCCAAGCAAGAGAACTTTGGTCGCCTTCACCAGACGCAGAAGCAGGGACAGATTAACGAGCCCAATTCTGTTTGGTGAACGTATTAGTTACTCGAGGGAGGTGAAGTATCTGGGGGTAACCCTGGATGATCGTCTCTCTTGGAATACACATATCGATAGAGTTATCGGGAGAGCTACGGCGGCCTTGTGGACGTGTAGGAGCTTCATCGGGGGGACCTGTGGAATTAGTCCCAGAATAGCACTGTGGCTATATACGGCCCTTGCTAGGTCCATCGTCACCTATGCGTCGATTGTATGGTGCCGTAAGGCTCAGCAGGCGGATGTGCGGGCCAAGCTGGAAAAGCTACAGAGGCTGGCCTGCCTGGGAGCGACCGGGGCGATGCGGACGGGTCCCACCGCTGCATTGGAGGTGATGATCGGATTGCCGCCACTGCACCTCCATATATTGAAGGAAGCTCGGCTGGTGACTTATCGACTTCTCTCTGGCGAGGACGGGGCAGGGCTAAAGTTGGCCCACAGAACTCACAGAGACTTCATTGAGCGCGATCCGATTCTAAGAATAACCATGTCAGATACCTGTATGCCGCGGTACAACTTCGACCACAGGTACAGGGTTCTGTTTCCCGATCGATGGACGTGGGATAGGGGTGGTCCGGTACTTAGGTCGGGTTCGAGCGTGTGGTATGCGGACGGGTCCAAAACGGAGTCGGGTGTGGGTTCGGGCGTATACGGTGTCCGCCCGGACACGCGTATATATGCAACCTTTGACCCGTATTGCACAGTGTTCCAGGCCGAAATACATGCAATAGAGATCTGTCTGAGAATCAATTTGGAAAGGGGGTATAGAAACCGCACCATCTATGTGTTCTCAGACAGCAGGGCTGCGCTGCTGGCAGAAGAAGACTTAAAATATGGCAATTAGAATTGCAATTATTATTCATAAAAAAAAGAAATTTACATAATACGTAAAAGATCCTAAGCATTGGTTTTATCGCGATCTAACTTCTTTACATAAATAATACAATTTTTAAAACAAGACATATTTCAGTCTATACCTTAGTTTACAACTGACCGGTAGTTAATACAGCTAAAGATTTTTTTATATTTTTGTCTAGAATTTTGACATGCATATATATATTTCTGATTTCAAATGTATTTTATTATTTTGATGTAATACGAGTATATATTTTATTAATATTGGTTTTAGTTTAATGGAATAAAACTGACAAAATTTGAAAATCAGAACATATGATGCTGCTTATACGCACAGAGTTCTTTGCCTTATTTATTGGACATTTTTTGAATGTACGCCTCGTCATTACTAAGTCGCCATGCTTGAATTTTTTTAAAATCTCAAATCCTATATAGAGTCAAGGTTCTAGACAGAATTTAAACTTTAACGACTTTAACATTTTATTACGTAAATAACAGGTGTACAAAAATCTAGTCAGCTGTTTTCTTTGCAGCAGCAGTTTTTTCTACATTAATAAAAATTAAGTAGAGGTCTCAATTGAATTTTTTTTAATCTTCAAAAGATGTAGCTTTTGAACCTTTGACTGAGAGTAATATTAAGTGTAAATGATATGGTCGGTAATATGGAAGAGTCACGAAACCATTTTTTTTGTATTTCGAGAAAAACGCATTTGAAAATATACACAATAATGTCAATTTGCAGATAAGTGTAAAATTTACAACGTTATTTTTCCGAAAATATTAACGTTAGAATTACGTGGGTTTTTTACATAGTAGATAGCTTAGAAAATTCTGAATTTTCTATATATAAAACTCAAAATTCTCAAAAAAGCAGTTTCGTGACTCTTCCATATTAACGTGACTTTTGCATATTACTTTTTGTTAAGAAATAAGTATATTCTTATATTAGGTATTTTCAAATAAATTAGTAATGTTCATGGTGATTTGGGATGCTTGGAAAATAAAAAACGATTAAAAACAAAACATATTATAGAGAAATTATTTGATTTCGTTTAATTATTAACAAAATTAATTTTTTTTTTACAAACTAGTTACTAATTACAGGTACCAAATTACATTATAATAAATTACAGGTAACAAAATATATTGTTCTTAAAGGTAGAAAAATTTTTCTAGTTCCTTACATTTAGAAAAATTGTTCTTGTAAGCCATTTTTCTTAAAACTAGTAATATTTGATGAGAGAATCAATTAATTTTATGACATAAATCATAGGTACTTTTATTTCAACTAAATTCACAAAAATTTTTTAATTTTCTTTTATTAGAGATTAAACTACATACTTATTTATATTGTTCAAATCCTAACATTAGTAGGTAATTGATTAAATGATCTTATCATTGGTAGGTAATTGATTAAATTAAATTTGCCACAGGCAACAGAATAAAATTTAAAGCTCTTGCAAATTAAAAATACTTCGTTGGTGTCGAATCGCTTTTTCCTAATGCTTGTATCCATTTATCCCTGATGACTTCGATCTTTGGCGAAGCAAATGTTGGTTTAGCATTTACGTTCTCCTTTTCTCGTAGACTATTGCTTCTGCATCCTTCGAAGCAACACTTTTGGAGCATTTCTATTTATATGAAGGTAATCAAATATACTATTATATTTTATTTAAATATGATTACAATTAAAACTTTAAAAAGTACACCAATTTTTCTTTTTAAATAAATTTTAGTACTATTTTTCAAAATCCATCTTTTTTTCATATATATTATAAAACTTCATTTTATTTAATAACACAAAAAATTAATATAATTATTCACTAAATTTAAATTAAAATTAAATTTTAAACAGCAAATAAATTCCCATACGAAGTTTATGTATTATATACTAGTACACATAATTTTCTTATTACAATTTATACATATATTATATACACAAAAAATCTGATGTGATCAGCACATAACCGACTGCAATGTATATTGTCTAGTTAAGTGAAAGTGTTACGGAATATTATAAAAATGACTGTTAAATACTTCTTTTCGAGCCCTGATCTTTCCAAAAAATTTATATGTTCATTGTTTCAATATGAAAAATTTAAATATTAAATTTCAATGAAATCGGTTGATTATTTCTCTTCATATACGCAAAAATGTATATTTGGCCCGTAGTAAACGTCCAGATGCTGACACCTGATTTCTTTCAAAAGTTAGGACCTTTCGCGGACGGTCGAGCAAGGCCTATGTATATATGAAATTTCAAGTAAATCGGTTGAATATTTTCTTCACAATGGTAAAAAATGTAAAGCAGGCCCGCTAAAAAGTGCAGTTCCCGAGGCCTGATATATCCCAAAAGTTGATCAATCCGTGCCACATTCGGAATAAACTTACACATAAAATTTCATCAAAATCGGTTTAGCAGATCTTGAGATACATGCGTGCACACACAGACCGTCAGACCGACAGAACGCCAGATCGACAGGTTGCTAAAAACATGTAGTTTATTTACACTTCCCTACTATGGAGAAGTGTATTCCCATCGAAAACTCGATATGCAAAATTTGTTGCCATCACATGACCTACCTATTGTATACACAATACGGGCAGTAAAAATTGACTATATACTAAAGAATGCTAGTCTCATTTTTTGTACAACCTCAATAGACCAAAATACAAAAATATTAACATCGCTTGTACATTATAGGAGTTTATGTTTGAATTGTGTATTACCATAGACATCTTTATACATTACAGGAGTTTATGGTATTACGGAGTCTTGAGTATAAAGATGTCTGTGATTTCTCTCACATATGTTGTCTGACATGGTACAAAAAAGTTGCAACACATACAAAAATTTTACTAAAAAATTGAAATATTTCTACTTGCTTGTTTACTTGCAGTTCAACTTGCAAGAAAATTTTGCTGCCAGTAATTTGAGCAAGTAATTTGACATATTGAGAAATTCACAAAAAAAAATTTGTTGTTTTGATTTTTTTTTTTTTTTAATTTAAAATTTTTGAATTTTGTTTTGAAAAAATTAAACTTAGCAAACTTATGGTTTCTAAAATTTATAAACAATTATATATATTGCTAGTTGTTTTCTTCTCAAAGACATTTTCAAAAATTAACTTCATAAACGCCTACGTCATCATAGCAAGTAATTTGACATTTCGAAAAACTAATTGACAATTAATATTATACAAACTTGCTTGCAAGTAACTTGTATGTGTAAATGCTGGGTTATCTACGACTGAGTTTTTCCATTTTTTTTTCAAATTCATCTATCACACTAACCGATTTTGGACTTAATTGGCCACATTATCCATAAATATTACGTGTTCTTACTTAATATATCCAGTTATGAAATGTTATACTTTATATTTGGTATAAAAATCTGAAGGTTGATCTTTACTCGAATTCCTGTACTTATTATGCGTTTAACGTTGTTATACCAACTCCGGAAAAAATATTATTAAAATAAATATGAAGTTCTGAAATGTCATTGCAATAAGCAGTTATATTCGCAATCTTAACACATATATTCAAGATAAAAGAAAGCCTTGTTATGTTTGATATTTTTGCTATGTCAAGCTGGCGTTTTGCAATTTTAATATTTGTCAGAACAAGCTCTGTGAAATGTGACTGTTTGTTTTGAGATTGCAAAGAGCGATTTCGGTTTAACATGAGTCTAAAAGAAGAACAAGATCTTTTAGCACTCCGAATCCGAGGTAAAAAAGAAACTCGAATCTTTTTAACAAATCAGACATCCTGATAATGTTATCGAGTCTCATGTTTTGACAGGCAGTAAATTCAAAATTTGACAATAAAACAAATTTCTTCAACTATATTTTAAGTTGCATTTATATTTCATGTACCACCATTTAATCCCGTAAAGCCACCATTTACATGTCAATCAAAGATTGGTAATCAGAGTATTTTGTTTGTATCTGTCAAATCTTGAAGTGCTTCTGTGCATTCTGATTATATTTATAGCCTTAACCGCTGTGAGGTAAAGAATGGAAACGTTCATTAACCTACAAATGCACAACTGATTTTTTTTAATAAAAGGTTTTTAGGTAATCAAATTTTAATTCTCGAGATTTTTTTTAACAATTTGTTTATGAAGTTACAGTACGTATTTGCATTATGTCATTATATTTTTGTTCGATTCCACATAAATAGGTAAATATCAAAAAGTTAATGTGACGTTCTTTTCTGTATGACGTGTCCACAGTTCATACAAAATTTTATTGAAATTTATAAATATAATATTATAAAATTGCTGTCAAACAAAATTGGACTAAGTGGTAGTAGTTCCATCCACTAGTCTTTTTGTGACAGTTTTAACAAAAACAAAGTGATTACGCGTTAATTTTTGCTATTTATAAAAAATACTTAAAATAAATTATTTTGAATATAATTAACGTATTTAAAATACACAAAACAAATGCCTTTTTTTTGTAAATGTGTTTAGTAGAAAATTGTTTTTTTTTTTTTTAATTTCAACTCGACATGTGATAAAAAATCAAGGATAAAAAAGTTGGATTTCTTTTGTTGAAAATTATTTATCAATGAACTTCATTTTTACTCAAGAAGAAAAGGTAGATGAAATATTATATAAGGTAACAATAATGAATTTTAGAAATATTTTAATATTATTTACCAAAAAATTTAATTCCTGAAATTTTTAAATATTTCTAAATCAATGAAATTGCGATTTAATTTTTTTTAGAAAATTAAAAGAAAAAAAACCAATACTAACGCAAGTGTTATTTTTTGGAATATAAATCGTCAAAGAGTGTGCGTGAAATGAATTATATGTACGATTGTATATTTATATTTTTATTCACTATTGACATGCATAATATTAATTCCAAACTTAATTAAAATACTTCCTTTATTTTAAACCTAATATTTTAATCTGATTTGAATACCTCGCTTGTTTTTTACTGACGATGTTAAAATAATATTGGTTATTGTATAATTTTCAAGATGACAAAGAATAATTAACTGTTTTTTTTTAAACAATAGATAAGTATGTACATATATTTACTTCGCTTTTGTATGTGTTTTAATATTAACAACAAAACGTCTGCAGTGAATTGAAAACAAAACTCAGCTGATGGAATTTTTTTTATGCTTCAATTTTTTAAAAAATTTACTTTAATGAACAAAATGTCTAGAGCAAATAGCCATAATGATTTGGAAAACATATTTTAATGAGTTAAATCCCAAATTTATTTAGAGGCAAAATTGTAAAAAACTTTTTGTATTTTAAAAAGTTAAATGTTTATTGTAATTGAAATTTTCGTCTATGTTATATAAACAGCCTATGTTTAAATATCTGAAAATGAAATTGATAAACTAATTTAATTATATTTTCTAATTTAATAATATTTAAATATATTTTCTTAGATGGCTATATGTTCCTATTAGCTTGCCGTTATCTTAGGAATCTACAAACTTTGATTCTGAATTTTTAAAATTTAGCATTTTGATCTTATTGCCTACGTACATATATCTACTAAATCTGTGAAGTGAAGAATCCGTCAAACATTGTTTTTGAATATAAAATCGGTGACAAAAAGGCTTTAATTAAAACTGTTTTAGTTAAGCAAAAGTAAAGTTGCGCAAAATTATTGTAATTTATTGTTGCAAGATGTAACAAGAAAATACAAGTAGAAAGATATTTCCTTCAAAATGAAAAAAATTGCAAAACGAAAATCACTCGCATAAATTAAAAAATGCTGAATTTCGTAAGAATGGATCGATGAAAGAGGCCACACACTGTATGATGATGCTGAAATTTTTAAACAAATGCTAAATTTTTCTACTGATTTTATTAAGAACACAGTCGCTCTAAAATGATTATAAGGCATTCGCATTCACTATAATTCAGGAATTAGAAAAAGCTACAAATTACAAATTACCTATGTTTTCTTAGCAATATTTTTTTTTCGAATTTTGCGTTTTGTTAATTAAATTTTTTGAAACTCGTAAAATTATATAGTTACACACAAGTGATACTCATATATAATTTATAGTATTTTGCGTAGAGCTACAAATATGTATATACGTATGTATGTTCTTTTTTGTCATGCATGACCCTTATAATATGTTATGAAATATAGATATACTACATATGTATGTATATAAGCAAAACTCAAAATTTTTTAAAAATTTTTTGGTTAAAATGACGATTAGGCTTAACAGAAATTACTTAACTAAGGTTTAATAATGAAAAACTACATCGAAGTAAGAAGGCTTATGGAAATTAAATATTTCGACATACGAGTACCTACACAAATTATGATTTTTAAAAATTAGAGGTTTTAGAAAATAAGAAGGTTACAGGCTTACTAAATATCACTCCAGTATTGGTTTTTTTTATTAATATAATTCTTATATTTTTAGGTCAAACATAAGTTTGAAATCTCTAACAGAAGAGCGAACAACATCCGATTAGGCGAAACTAATTAATCAAATGCTCTTGATACAGTCTTTAAAAGAAAAATTATTTTTTAACTTAAAATTTAAAACAAAAATGTGAATAACTTAATTCACGTGTAATATTAAATATAAAGTTATAATAATACAAAATAATATAATACTTTTTTATTTTATGTGTACATTTTATTTTAACGGTATTGTAATTTGCAAAACACAAAACGTGCTCTTGGTGAATTAAACTATAAGTTGTAAATTAATGAATGTATTTAATAAATTTTTATAAATATTGAAAAAAGAATAGTAAATACTAAGAGAAGCTGCGCTGAGTGTGTACATAATATATCACAGTTTACGTACATACGTATATAAGTTTTAACATTTTACTTTTATTTTTATAGTCTATCATCAATCTAATATTAAATAAATACATAATAATCAAAGTTAATTGATAAATAGGAACATTAAGAAAACAATTGCGAATTGTTAAACAATATTAGATTTAGAAAATATTCAATAACAACTACCCATCTTATGCTTTTTTATAAAAAAAAAATTATATAATTTACAAAAACTTAATTTTTTTAAGATTTGAATTTGCTGGTTTTGGTATTTAATATTTCGTTAATATTTAAATAAAAGTGTCAAAGTATTTTGAAGATGTTGTACGTTTTCCATGTTGATAGTGGTCGAATGATCAAATTCGATATGAATGTGGCTTTGACAAGGTAAGCTCAACATGAATTAGATTTTTAGCAATAATATTTATACATACTTATAAATAATACATATGTATTTTATTATTAATTTTTCTTGCCTTATTAATGTTGGATTGTAAAGATTTAATTTAAAAAACTAAACAAAGCTAATTTTTTTTAGTGTGCAGAATTTAAAGGATATTATTGAAAAACGTCACGGCTTATCAGCAGACAAAGTAGTACTGCTGGTTAGTGGGGGAGAAATGTTAACATCAAATTCATTAGTATGCAGTTATTCTGCAGGGACAGACACGAATCCAATTTACATGTTCACAACAGTAGATATTAAACCCCAACCGTGGCCCAGTATAGAACCTGGTAAATTTGAAATTAAATTCTATACTAAGGTTAGAGAGAATTCTTTCTAAAACATTAGAACGTGTTCAACCAATAATTTAAAAGTGTAATAATTATATAATCGTTTGAATACTTGCTTATGTGAGTATGTACATATGTAACTGAATTCAATATTTTAATTTTTCGAAAAATTTTATTTATTTGTCATAGATACTTACATAATCTACATGAAAGCTATAAAAATTTGTTAATGCGGTATAAAAAAAGGAAAAATAATGAAGGTTACTTTATAACCATACTACTGTTCTATGACCGTTACCTTTTTATCTGCTGTATATTGTGTATACACGTTTATTTATAAAATATGCTCTAAAACTTATTTATTATATAAATATTTTTTAGAGTATAAGTTACTATTAAAATAGTTTTTAATTTTATTTAGCAAAAGGGTTGTTTATTTTCCATTATAATAAACATTCAAAGTCATGAAAATCAAGGAAAGTAGGTTTACATTTTTAACTTGGTTTAAATATCTAGACAAGTAAAAAAAGCATTTAATTTTTTTTTAATTTCGTAAAAAAAATATTTTGAGGTATGCAAGTGAGTTTGACATTAACGTATTAATATTTCCATTTTGCTAATAAACCATGAAAAATTGATTTCAATTATTTTAAATTTAATATACATACACCGAACTCCCTTATTATATACACCTATCTCCCCATCTCTATTTATTTTTAACTTTCCTAACTGACGAATGAAATCAGTAAAAGTCAAATTTGTTACATTTTTGGTGTTTTTTTCATCTGATATAAATTTATAATTTGTATTAAAGGACATTTTACTGATAGCGATTTGGCTGAACAAGTTGAACGTTGCCTTAATTTGCCATCTGCTCATAGTACTATAGTAGCCAGTGCCCAGTTAGGTCAACAATTTTACGATTTAGCTTTAGAAGAAGAAACAGTATGTGAAACTTTAGTACATGAACAACATCTGCAGCAGCAGGGTTGGTCAGCTGTAATAGCGAATATGGAAGATTTAACTGAAGAATTTCGGCAGCGTTTCGAAACGTTTAGTCGCTGCTTTGAAGAGCATTTAAGTAAACGCAACGAACACTTAGAGTTGCTACAAAATTTTAATCAAGATCTTGTAAATTTGTCTAAAATTCCAATATTGCCAAGTTTATTACAAAACGCGGAAGAAGAATTTCATGGATTTGATGAATTTTTAGACAACGATGATGTGTTTTCACGTTCTCAACAAAATGAATCTATGATTCTTCAATCAACTAACAATAGTAATAATGATAATAGTAATAATGATGTTACTAGCAATGAGAGAATACATCAAGGAGCTGAAACAAGTGAATCTATAGAAGGTGGTAGCATAAATGCCAGAACAATGATAACATCATCTTCAGGTTCAAGTAGTGTCGTTGAACAAAAACGTCCTAGGTTGTCCAAGGAAAATACTCCGGAAACTGTTATAATTTGCAGTGGTATTAAGTCAGATACTAGTACTAATAGTAAGGCTGTGATAAATTGTCGGAATTTGACATTATTACAATGGATATCAGCTAAAGAAAATCATGATGCGCTTAGAGTTATGGCTGAAGAATGTGGCCAAGGGCTAGCAACTTTTAGTTCAGATAAATACGAGCAATTGAAAAATGAAGTATTCAACATAATCAAATGCGCAGAACAGGTAATCTATGATTGTAAATTATAATCCGTAATTAAAAACCATTATACAAAATATTTTTATTTGTTTGATAGGAAGAAATAAAAGAAATTAAAGGTTTGGAAGATCGATTAAGTGGTTTAGAAAAACTGATGTTTAATTTAAAAAAAATTGTTCAAGACCAAGGTGGTCACTCGACTGCTTTGCAACAGGTACACTACTTTTTTTTTGCATTTATATCTTAATTTTTAATGTTTTCATTTAAATAGAGTCAAAACCGCACAAGCAGATTGGGTGATCCGTCTATATTACCAGACTTATGCGAATCACATCGTGGTCAACTAAAAGTTATGTTAAATAATCATAAACAAATTCGTGATTACAGAAGACGTATATCAAAAGCTAAAGACGAGTTGGGCTTGAATCTCAACAAACGTTTAAAGTAAATAAAAATTTTACATTTTAAAACACATTTTTTTTTTTACATATTTTTCATAATTCATTACAGATTTATAGTTCAAATAGAAAACGCAATGAGCGAGAGAGATCATTCTTTACTTTTTTATCATCGATGTCAGCGTCGTGTAGAGCGGCATATAAACATTATCCAACAAATTCACCTAACTCCCAAAATATATTTGGAAGCAGTTACTGAAGTCGTTAGACGTCGCATTTTTTCAGGTGAATTCGTACAATGGGCTTCCAATTTAGCTTGTGACTTTGATGCTATTCATAATGAAGAGGTGGAAAGAAGACGTCAGTTCAATTCCAAATTCGAAGGTCATTTCTTGAACATATTGTTCCCTGGTATGAATGATATGCCACCGGCTTTTGCAAATGAAAATCCTATTATTTTTGATGCTTGCTTACCGAATATTACTAAAAATGGTGAATGATTTTAATAATAAATTAATAATAAATTTGCATTTCAAAAATTTCGTAAATGCTTCCAGATGTTGATTTGTTAACGGAATTTTTGCCTAATATCGGTGATAATATACAATTGCCAGACATGGAAAATGTAATAGATTTCTTTGCCTCAAGGTATTGTAAATATAATGATAACTTATGAGATATAATATCATTTTTTCATATCGTATAGATCTGGAAATAAAATGTCCGATCAAAAAATGTCTACAACTCAAAATGAATTGCTTTCTACAAATGTAAATGAAATTATTTTAGCACACCGACCAATAGATCTGCATACACACCTGAAAGAGTAAACGTGATTAATATTTTTTTCAATTTTGTACTATATTTTCTTTCTTTAAAGCGGCTTTGAATCAGAAACAGATACGGAAGAATTTGAAAAGGTTGGTGATCGTAGCTCAACAGAAGGGCAGTCTTTATGTCAAGGAAAATTATTGAGAGGATTAAAACAAACACACACATCGGTAGCTACATCAACAAGTGAAAATCGCCCTTTTATGCAAAATACCAGCATTGAAACAGAACCAATTAAAATGAATAATGCTGAAACTCTAACAGAAGTATGGCAAATTTTTTGATATTTACTGTTTAGTTGAAATTTGGTTCTTGCTATTCAATATATACACATATATTTCAATATATACACATATTTCAATATATACACATATATATTTTTTCATTTAGGAAAACTTAGAAAGTAATGAAAAAGAAAAGGAAAAATTGAAATCTTGTCTTCGTTGCATGTGTGAAATTTCAAATAAATGCACAAAATTATTAAAAGAAAACCTTCAGTCTTTGAAGTCAGATCAAAGACAAGCAAATGAAGTGACTAAGAAAAATATGAAAACTATTGAGCAAGCATGCAATTTAATTCAGGAAAAATATAAAAATCAAGATCGTCTTATCACTGAAGCTCACCAATTAGAAACGAAAAGTCTTCTGGATAAATTAAAAGAATGCGAAAACGTAATAAAAAATTTGAAAGAAGAGCAAAATTATTTAATATCTAGTCATCTGAAACATATAGAATGTCTTGAAACTGAATCAAAACAATTGCGTCAAACATTGGAAGTTAGAAATGAAGAAATCGAACAATTACAAAATAAGGTAGAATCTTTTAATGCAGAAAGAATAAAAGCTTTGAACGAATTACGGGAAAAGTTGATTCATGAACATAAAACTGAATTAGAATCTCTTAGATGCCGATTTAAAATTATGACAAGTATGGAAAGATCACCTTCAGACACAAGTCTCGAAAAAATAGAAAAATCTGATATGATAGACATTACATGTCATGAATCTATTTTGTTACAGACACGTGAAGATTTGAATATTGAAAAGGAAATAGCAGTGAAGAAAGCAAAAGAGGAATTTAATATCGAAAAAGACATTGCAATACAAGAGGCTATTGCTCTTGAACGTATAAAATGGGAACACAACTCTTCCCCAACTGGCGTAATGGCTATGACAGCAAATATGGAGTTACTCAAGAAAATGGTGGAGGAAAAAGATAAACAGTTAGATATTATGCGCGAACGAGAATTAATGTACAGTAAAGATATATGTCAGCTAAAAATGAAAATTGAAGCTCTAACAAACGATGAAGAAAGTGATAAAGGTTGGATGAAGGAAAAAATTGATTTTTTAAATCGCCACAACCACAAATTAGAACAGGAATTAAATATTGAAAAGGAGAAATCGAAAAGATTTGAAATGGAATCTTCGATTTCAACTATGAGAAGGTATTAACTAAAATAGCGAAACTGAAATAAAATATCTAAAAATTATCTTTCATTTTATAGTTCTAACATTGAACAAAGCATGATTCGCTCAAAATCATCATCTAGTCAATATGGAGGAAGTACAACACTTCGTAACTTAAACGTTTCAACAGATTCGTGCTCTGCTGGGGATTTAGTTTTTGTTGTATGGAATATAAGACACGGCCAATATATTATCGTCCAGGAATCTCCAAATTTGTTTTTTGTGCACGCAGATTCTTTGTCGTCACTGAATTTAAAATTACCTATACCTGCAGATATAGAAATACCGGTGCCATTTTTCACTATAGCCAAAGTAATCAATAAAGAATTTTGTCAAGCCAGAAAGGTATTATTTTTATTACATAAAAAAAAATTTTGTGTATAATGCTTTCCATATTAATTTTAAACTCCTATTCAGGATGAAAATCGTTATAAAGTTTTAAAAGGTACAAAATTCTTTAGAGTGAAGCTCCAGCCCGTAACAGAAATGAAATGGCATTTGAGACGAGAAAAACTTGAAGGTTTATTTAACATTCCTCATTTCAATAGATTGAATAATTTTTTTTACTTTTAAAATTTTAGCCGTAACCTCAAACGTGACTTCTGTAAGTAGATCAACTAGTACCCAACATTTGATTGATTCATTTTCTCAAACTGAAACTGAGGATTTCACATGTGAAAATTTTACAACTTCATCGTTAGCAACAACTTCATCAAACTGTGATATTCCTAGATGCGATGAAATAAATATTGAAGAAGATTCACAAAAACCTCAATTGGAAACTCTTGACACCACTTCAAATCGACATATTGTAGAAAATATGAGTATAAAAAATCGTACCCTTAGTGCAAGCAGTTTTACCCAAGAAAATGAAGAACCAGATTCTTTGTTAAACGATCCCTGCAATTTTCGACGTGTAGCAGAAAATGGAAAAACTACATTTGCAAGCCCAATCCTTTCAGAAAAAGTAAGTATGTTGACATAATATATTACGATTGTTTTTATAGGCATCTTCCAAAAATTGCAGTTTTCTCTGTTTTTACCTGAAGCAGTCGCAATTTCAGGTGAAATTAATTTCGATTGAGTCGTGATTTTGCTATTTAATAATAAAGAAAACAAAGTGTTAGAGCTCCTTTAATTAACTGCCCAATTAAATTATTACCAGATACAACAAAATTTCCATTTCAATGTTATTCGATTGTCCTTTTGTATACTGCCATTTTGTTTCACTGAGGATTTTAATTTCCACTTTCTGTACTCTCTCATGTCGTTTCATTTACCAATTAGAACCTAAAGGCCAAAAGGCCGTTGACTTTTAAAATAATAATAGACTCAAAAAGCAACATATATGATGTGAACCTATTTCTATCAAAATAAATTTTGCATGTTATCCTAATATCGCTCTTTTTAAATTAAATTATGCAAAACGATAAATGATGGTACTTATTAAAATATTTTAAAGGGCATCGAAAATATCGGAATGTTTGTGGCAAGTCCAATGTCGACAGAAAATTCCTCAATTGCAGACATAGAATTATCACTTTCAAGAAAGTTAATTCAAGATGAAACAAACACTGCTTCAACAACATCTGGTAATCAAATACAAGGTGAAAAAGAACAAACCGATGACTCAGATGAATATAGGTCCCTAGAAACAAAAGAAGATTTTGTTGACTTTTCGGCTCAGGCAGAACCACAGTCTGAAAGCATTTCAACTATCATCACAATGATGGAAAATCCAAGAGCAGTTTCGGCTACACCATCGACAATGAGTATAAATGAGTACATTTAAAAATTACTTTAGATTTTTTGTATTTTATAAACCTGAAAAAGATAGTCTACAAAAGCAATGTGCTGTATATGTATATAATGTACAAAATATATAAAAATGTATGGCTTATGTAAGATGTTTCGTATTTGGTGAACCGTTTGATACCGTTGTTCAGGTTTTCGCGTCGAGAAAAAATTGTGCTTTCTAAAATTATTGACTGTTAATAAAAATTTTGATGTTTACTTCATCCTTGAAGAGTTAGGAATAAATTAATTCGCACGTTTTTTTGTTTAAAGAATAACTTCGATTTTAAAACTAAATAAGAATTGTCTTTTTATTTCACATACCTTCCTTACAAAATGAATAATTACTATCTAAAAATGAAAAGAAAGAATTTAGTTAGATTATTTGTTTTAATCATAAAATCAACCAAAAAAGACGAAAATCGATAAATTACTTTTAAAGACATTTCAAACAAAATGTATGGTATTTAATTAAAAAAATTGTAATTTTTATAAAATAAGTCAAGTTAAATTTTCATTACTTTTATTGAGCAAAATAGCAATATTCAAAGAAAGAATTTCATTAACTAATTCTATTTTTAGTAGCTCTTTGTTACCTATTCAAAGTTTTGCTTTCAGTAAAAATTTATTTAAAAAAGTTATTTTTAGTAAAACAGCTAGGGGGATTTTTTTTTAAACAGTATACAAAAACTTCAGTTAAGTTTTTTTTGTTTACACAGTCTACAAATTCTGAAACTTTTAAATAATGAGTCGGTCGAAAATAACAGAAATGACGTTGTTTATGAAATTGTATCCCAATACTTTTCGCCTTCCAATTCCCCGCAAAATAAGTAAATTTTAACAAGATTTAAAGACTTAAAGAAAACTTACTTTAAAAACCCTTCAATATCTGAATCTGCCATCTTGAAATTTAATTTTTTTTTGAAATTGAAAAAAAAACAAATTTATGAGGCAGCGCCAATATTAGGCCCTTATTATGATTGGCGAAGCGAATGAATTTTTTGGCGAATATGAATTTTTGGTATTATAATTAGCGAATTCGCCTAAATTTTAGGCGAATGAGCTGTCAAATCTGTCGAATGAAAATTCTGTGTGACAAGCTTGGTGAATGAAACCAAAAATCAAATTAATACAAATGTAAGTGTTATTTTTTATTGGATATTATATCATTTATGTGTTATATAATGGAAAAATTTAAACTATCTGTAAAGCAAGTTAATAAAATTCTACAAATTATTGTAAAAAATATTGACTGTTACACACCTAGTCATTCGCTTCGCCAATCATAATAAGGGTATATATGCATACATAAATTTAAACATATACATATATGCACCTTGCACATATACACATATACAAGTTGCAGTATAGACCTAAATATATTTAATTTATAACTACTATTAGTTTAAAACACTTTAATATGTTTTACTTTAGTTTCTTATTCTTAGGAGCAGCCTAACAATATCGGTTGTGGGAAAAAAGGTTAATAAATTAAATTTGATTTTTGAAAACACCCTTATAAATTCTCTGTTCCAAGTTCCATTTAAATAATTTACGCTTATTCTGCTAGATGTAGAAATATGTAAGGTAATAGATTTCATATTCTAGTAGATTTGTGTCCCATTACTTGCCTCAAAAAGCGTCTAGAAGGTTATTCTACTAGACGTATTTTAGCAAAATGTCCAATTTTTTGTATCACATTTAGACGTGTATATTTTGTTGTCGCCAGAGATATAAAACATTCTGTAAAAGAAAAATTAAAGGAAATGGAGATGTAAGTATAATTAGGTATTTTAATAGCAATATTTACTAATTTCAGCTTAAAAAAATGTAAGTCGATTAAAATGAATTGGATTGCAAAAGTAAAACCAAATTTAAAACCAACTGTGGATCTTATAAATACATAGGGTTCGATTTATTTCTTATGCTCCTCTAATTTATTAGGTTTCTTGGCTTATTTTCTTCACCACTTTCATCTAAAAACCAAAAAAAGCTCGAAGACATCTTTTTTTCTCTAATTTACTAGTTTTTATTAATACTTTTGTCTGTCACTAGTATATTTAAAAACAAATTTTCTAAATTTTTAACATTAAAAAATTTCGATCCTCTGAATCCTCGAGAATGCCAAAAAATGTAACATTTGTCTAGTATAGTGAGGCTGATTAAATCTTTTTTCAAATCATTTTACTCTCCAGGACAAAATAAAAATGAATTCGATTTTTGAACATGAAAATTGGGCATTCTACATAATATATTCAGTATTTGTAAAAAAGAATATTAATTGAATTCACATTTTTTAATTTTATTTGAAAATTATTTGAAAAGAAACTTTAAGTTTATATTCACTTAATTTAAGGTAAGAGCCCTATCATGAATTTCATTCGTAGCTCCAAAATTCGGAAAATTATGAATTTCATTTTTTCAATTACGAATTTTTAAAATTTTACTACGAATATTCGTAATAGAGGAATTATAAATAATGTTCGTAGTAAAAATAACCATCAATAGTTTACGAAAGAAGTAATCACACGTAACAAGCAATTTGAAGACAGTGGTTTTAAATTTTCAAGTTCTCAATTTTTTGTCTGAATTTGAGTTCTTCCAAAACAGCTACCATGAAATAAAATAAAATCACATCTGCTCAAAAAAATTTTTTACACTTTTAAAAAAAAATAAAAAACCTAAAAAAATTGCAAAACTCCGTTTTTAAAAAAATTTCCTTTTTTTAGAAAGTTTTGTACTCAAATATATAATATAATATATAATAATATAATATATTATTATATTATATTATAATATAACATATAAGTATATGCAACACAATTATTTCAAGTTTTAAAAAAAATCATAGCGTAGAAATAACAAATTGTTTTTTCTATAAACAATTATATAAACTTACAAATTTATACAAAAAAACGCGAACAATTTATTTTTCTATTTTTCAGTTTTTTAGCACTTTTCTTTCTTTCTGTAGTCTCCTTCATTTTGTACATTTATTTTTAGCTGTTTCCTGCTTAAAACTTTCACTTCGTAGTTTATATTTTTTTCCTTAAGGATTTTTTAGACTAAATTGTAGTCATCTATATTACTCAATATGACAGGAGGAAGCTTACGTTTAGGAACTTTGTCCGGTTCAGGATATTTTGTGACATTTAGTTCGTTTAGTTGTCCTTTTTTGTTTGTTTTGTCATTGTTGTCTTTTGCACCTGCAGGACTTGCAACTTTTCTTTTTCGTTTATTTTGATCTCAACATTCAGTTTCTTTCATTAGCTCTTGCTTGTCCGGATAAAACTCGTCCTGTTTTGAACAGCTGTTCAATTTCAGCTGGTATATTAAAGGTAGCTAAATTAAGTAATTTCAGCTGGTAATATTTAAGGTCACAATTAGCTGCCCTAAGTTCCGATATCTCTTTCTTGAGCTCATGGCAAAGGCTTTCCAAATTACTAATATGAAGGAGCTGCTGATTCATAATTTCTTGTGCTTTAATTATTTCACCTGATGTAACTTCGTTTATTCTGTTAGCTGGTTTTTGCTGAATAATTATGTTGTTTGAGGTAGTACGTAGCTTAGACTCCTGAATACTTTTCCTTGGTAAATGTCCTATTTTGCCGCTTCGTAGGAACGGATTCGGTGTATTCCTGTTTGGTGTACCTTGTTGATCCTTATTAGAAGATGATTGCAATAAATGATCCTCCCCAGAATCCGTGGGATCGGTCTTGTGAGAAGTACATGAAGTGCGTTACCAAGAGGAGCCCGGCAGATAACTATGTTACCTACCTTCGGGGAGGTGAGACCTGGATTCGTTGACAAAGCTGTTCCAAACAGTATGGCATTTCCCAGAAGTACGTTGAGATCGTTCATCCTAAATATATGCAATCCTAGAAATAGTTTCGTTTATGAATGAAAATAATTTTAATAGTGTGGTGGGTATACATAGACTATATCAGAAACAATTTTATAGACTTAGAAATTCACACAAAAAAAACGTGAACATTTAATTTTCTACTTTTCAGCTTTTTAAATTCTACTTTTTAGTTTTTCGGACGGGACATTTTTACTTTTCAGTTTTAAAAAAAAATTACTAATTACAAAATATATGAAAATATTTAATTAGGTATAAAAACCAAAATATATTAAAATTATAATTGGCGACTTGAACCAATATTCTTTTTAAACAACTAAAAAATAGAAATTTCCATTAAAAAAATTTAATAAAAAGCGTTTCTTTGTGTGCATATACATATTTATGAAAAATAAAAACACAAAGACTTTTTAATATTTTTGTTAGAAATAATAAATATGTATATATATAATTCAAAAATTTTACAAAAATTTAAAAATATTCGGTTCATATGATTTGACTTTCAACATTTTTTTTAAAAGGTAACTGTTCTGCAATGTTTTTTTTTATTATTAAAAGTATTGACTCCGTTGATATGTACACATCTTGTCATAGTGTATGTAGACATTCACATATGCATATTTGTTTTTTTTTATGAACAAAATAAATTATTTACGAATCGAAGTGATTTTTTATTAAAAGTAGCTAACAAAATTAATAAAGTTTGTTTAAACTTTAAATAGTTTGTAAAGTAGCAATTTTCCAAGTGAGATATTCCAGCTCGAATTCAATGGTTGATTGCGTCATTTATTGTTAGCTTTCATTCATAGAAATTTGAAAAAACTTCGGAAATATATGGCGCCAAAAATGGGACTTTTACAAATTTGGGGAGGCGAAAACTTTCAAGGGGGTGGAGTTGGAAAAAAATTTTTATTAGTATCTAAAAGCTAGAAAAGTTTCAAACTTCTACAACCTATTTTATAGAAAACTGATATCAAGAACTTGAAGAGGAAAAGGCTTTAGATAACAGTTAATTTTAGCAAACATTTCTTTTTAACATTCAGTTACGCTGTGCCGCATTAAAAAATGTATGTCCTGTATTTTTACTAAATTTTTTAAATTATTTATGTGGCACTTAAATGATGTTCTTAAAAAAGTAAATTTTTCAGCAAAGTTGAAAACAGAATATTGAAGATTAAGAAATAGCATCAAGACCTGTTCAAAATTTAGTTAAAATAAAAAAAAATTCTAATTTATATAAATAATTTTAAAAAATAATATAAATAAATTTATTATTTTTTAAAATTATTTAAAAAATAATAAATTTATTTTAAGATTTTTCATTTTTATTTCAATCTCGTCTTGCTAAATTTAAAACTCATATTTTATATGAATATGCATACACACCTGTTAGGTGTAGATACACCTAGTAGGCAGGGACGGATCTTTCATATATGCAAAGTATGCATTTGCAATGGGCGATAAAAAAAAGAGGCGACATTAAAAACTTAAAAAAAAACCCGAAATTTAAAAAAAATTTTTTTAATGTTTCCTAATATTGTTTCTTCCAAATTTTTTTTATATCAATTTACAGCGAAATTAATTTGATAAAATGTACCTGTATACAAACATAATATTTTATAGAATGACCCACGCTCGGACCATGTCCGATGAAAGAGACATTTGTTCCCAACTTCGCCAATTGATCGGCCTCTTCATTGCCAGGTATTCCTGTACAGCCAGGAGCCCATATAAAAGTGACTCTGTTATTCACGCTCAGTTTTTGCAGGTTGTTGAAGCAACTCCAGGCTATCTTCGAGTTAAAAGTTGATGATTTCAGTGCCGCTAGAGTAACCTGGCTGTTGCAAACTATGGAAATGGAACACTTCCGTGAGCCGTCTCGCAAGCAGCGCACAGCACATGACCCGATGGCGAAGACCTCCGCCTGAAAACGAAGGGAGCTTCGTCTAAAGGCGTATAGAACCTATAGTTGCGGCCGTATACACCAGCACCCTTGTCGCGATCACCTTTAGAGATATCCGTGTGCCACACGGACGCCTGATCCGGCTAGGAGCCTGTAATTGCCTCGATGGACTCCAGTCAGGTATTATTACCCGAAAGTTCCTCTTGCATTTAATCGTCTTGATTTGGATGACCCACAAAAATTTGATGTTTTCAGCCATCAGGACAGGAATGCCGCCCAATTTCGGTGTCACGTCCCTCCTGTTGGTGAAAAGTACACACTTTAGTTTTTGCGGATTCACATTTAAATCCGCGCCCTTACACTAGCCCTCGACTAGAGCCAGGGCCAGTTGAGTGCGCTCCGACACTGTAGTTTCGAATTTGCCGCGGAGCATCAAGACCAGGTCGCCAGTATAGCTAATGTATCCGAATTCTGATCGCTCCAATTTCAGAAGCAGCTGGTCCATAACCAGAAGCCACAAAAGTGGGGAAAGAGCCTCACCTTGTGGGTAGCCCCTTGTGGCCGTGACCATCAAGGAGTCAGTAGCAATTACCGCTTCGATCCTTCTACCACTGAGCGTGCCACTTGTTCAACAAATAATGGAGGAGCAGATGCCCCTCGACGTCATCGCTTGCTCAATGATTTTTAAATCGCTTGCTGATTTCTAAAGCTAACACCTTTTCCATAGCCTTTAGTAGAAAAGATGTTCAGCTGATAGGCTTATATGATTCAGCCTCGGCTATGTCTCTTCGGAAAGTACCCTGGGACCAGACTTTCCCTGAACATATTTGTTATATGTAGCAGAAGAACATCCTTTGCAGAAATGCCGGGTATACAACATCGTCGTCGAGACTCTTGTAAGGGCCAAACGAATTAATTGCCCAGTCTACCCTTCCTTTGGTGAAAATAATCTTTGCGCCCTTGTAAGCGTGAGTTATATATAAACCATGTACAAAGCCATTAATAAATAATTATTCAAATATACTTTCAGAAATATCAACTAAAATAAATAAAACATAAATATTGCTGATGGGCAAATAACATAATATAGATGATAACAATTAATGTAAAAACTTTCCCAAAATAATTAGGAATGTTGTTAATCTTGAAAAAATAAATAAAAGAATGTAACTTAGGAAATTTTCTGAAGGTCATTTTGTAAAAATAATATTGTTAATCTGGTTAATCAAATAGTAGAAATTATTTTAAAACTTTCCATTTGATTTTAAAAGTAATTAATCTGGTTTTAATTCAAAAGTAATAATTGATAATTATAAGTAAACATATTGTAAAGAATACTATAAATACAATGGATTGTACAAAATAAAAATAAATTACAGTTTAGCCTCAGATAGTGAAAGAAGTGTTAAATCTTGTGTTATAAATTTAATTCTATCTTAATTGTAAAATTTGTTAATTTAAAAATAAAGAGAAATAAAAGAATAAATAATAATTTATTTTTTTATAATCTTAATAGAAACGAAAAACATAATTGGCGCAGTCGGTAGGATAATTCTAAACGGGAATTATCTAGTGATACGAATCTAAAAAAAAGTTCACATAATAATTGGTAGAAAATTTAAAACTTTAAACTTTATTAAAATAAATAAAAAGTGAAAAAGAAAAAAATTAATACCAAATAAATAATAACGTAAAAAGTGTTTTGATCGGGATACAAAGTTTTAAAATAAAAAACGTAGACACGAAGACAAAATACTGTTAAGACTTTTGGTGCAAGTGGAAAACGAAGATACCAAACTAACAAAAGTCAATATAATAAAGAATAATTAAAACTTTTGGTGCAAGTGGAAAACGGAGATACCAAACTAACAAAAGTCAGAACTTTTGGTGTAAGTGGAAAACGGAGATACCAAACTAACAAAAGTCAATATAATAAAAAATTAACAAATTAAAACTTTTGGTGTAAGTGGAAAACGGAGATACCAAACTAACAAAAGTGAATGTTAAAAAAATTAAGATCAAGAAATAAAATATTTGACACGAACCGAAGAAACATGGCAGAGAAAATGGAAGAGCAGATAACACAACAACAAGAACAAATTAACTATCTAACAGCAGCATTAGCGGAGGCAACAAGCATGTGTAATTCAAATTTAGTAAGGGAAATTAGACACATGTCCACGTTCACAGGACAGAATGAAATTTCCATCAACTCATTTGTAAGTAGTGTAGAGTACTACTTAAGCAAAATAACTGATCCAACCCAAAGAAGGCATGCAATAAGAACGATATACTACGAGAAAATACAAGGTGAAGCGAAGGAAACCATAATCAACTTGCCAGATCCAGAGGATTGGAACAGTATAAAAATCATGTTAAAAATGAGATATCGACCTGACACAGAACCAGCAGAGATCTACAAAAAGATATTAAATCTAAAAGTAAATTCGGTAAGTGAATTAGCTGAAGAAATTCAAAGTATTAAATATAAATCAGATGAGGTTAGAATTTATTATAAAGAAGATTCACATATAGATTTAAGCAACGTAGACACTATGTTAATAAATACAATAAAAGAAGTAACACAAGGTGTGCTATTAGAAAAAATTTATAACGAAACAAATTTAGGTAATATTATCTCAATAATGAGAAAAAGAAGATTTGAAGATTCCTGCATTAGGGAAGAATATAAAAAAAAGAATTTCAAATATAATAATAATTTCAAGAATCAATTTTTTAATAATAATTCGAGTCAAAATCGACCGAAACAACAAAGTTTTTATAAAAATAATAAATTTAATGATAAAAATTTTAAATTTAACTCAAATCAAAATAATATGAGTTATCCAAATCATCAAAGTTATAATAATAATAGAAATAGCAATTTCCAAAGGCATTTTCCAATGTCAGGAAACTCTAGAATGCAATCGGGCCTAAATCGCCACCAACAGATTGGTTCTGGACAAAGACGGATAGAGCCTATGGAAGTTGATAATATTGAAATTGAAAGTGAACACATTAATAATAAAAACAAAAGTATTAAAAGTAATCGCGAATCGGTATCGTACCAAACGTCAGGAAACCCTAGACATAATCCGGGCAAATATCGCTTTCAACAGGATTATGATAGGCAAAGACTGGACGGACCAAGTATAAAAAGTAATTATAGTGCTAATAGAAATTTCGAGGAGTCTAACAACTTAGATTTTTTTATCAATTAGCCTCGGAAAAACTACCTATAATAAAAATAAGTTTAAATGATAATAATTATTTTGCGTTAATAGATACGGGATCGACATTTAGTATTGTCGATGACAAAATAACAGGATTCAAAGTAAGTAAAATAAAACCATTATATTTTTCAACGATAAATAAAAAAGATGTAATAGATAGTGAAATTCATTCTCCTGCACCGGAGGAATTTAATTGTCCAAAAGAAGCAATGGTAAGGTGGAAAGTAAAAGGTCTACCAAATAAAAAATATCAATATATAATCGGTAATGATTTATTAAAGGCATTAAAAGCTAAAATTAATTTAGAAGATGGTACAGTAATAATTAATAATAATAAAGTAAAATTGCTAAGTTTTCCTTATTTAATGGAACAAAATTATAATCTGAGGGTACCAGTAAAGAAAACAAGAAGAAAACCTGGAAAAAAAAGGGTATATCCAATATCAACGGTTTGGACAGAACCGGAAACAATAAAAAGAAGAAAAAAATATGGACACATTAAGTTACAATAAATAATAAAATAATAAGTATTATATTAGTTTTTAAATATATGTATGTATAAATATGACTCTGTGACTAAGCCTTTTTTCGTCGTTACCTAAGGTGAGGCTGCCTTAGGCACAGTTGTCAAATAACTTGTTCCTCTGACACAAGCCTTCTCAACTCTTTAGGTGAGGCTGCCTAGAGCATTGGAACAATTATATATGGTATATGTTAAAAAATAAATAAATTTAAATAAATTATAAAGAAAACTATTAAAAGGGGTTCAATATAAAATTATTGAAACAAATTAAATAGAAATCATATCACTGAAAGAAAATTTGAATATAAATTTGAAGATACTAATAATCATAACTTTATAATATGAATGAACAAATAAGAATAAAGAACGAATTTAATAAAAATTGGGCAACATTTAAAAAAGGGTAGAATCAAATACATTAAAATTAAATATTCTTGAAGCTTATCCAATGTCAGGAAACCCTAGAATGCAGTCGGGCCAACATTGCCATAACGGACGGATTTTAGGCAAAGACGGAGGGCTAAAAGAGTAAAATGAAAAGAAGGGAATATACCATAAGTCAGGAAACCCTAGACGCAATCCGGGCCAATATCGCCTTTTGTAATAGGATTGAGATAGGCAAAGACGGGTATAATTCTAGAAGAAAAATTAAATTAATAAAAAATTAAAACTATTAATAAAATTAATGAAAACAAGGAAAATTATGAAGAAACAAGATCAGTGGGATTCATTAAAAATTATAAGGCAACTAGGCAAAAGCAATTACCGAAATACAGAAAGATGAAATTAAGAAATATTCATGTATCTAATATTAAACGACCTTTAAAATTTACAGATTATGGTGCTGATGATATTGACAACATGTCTATTGATTCCAACTGAAGGGAGTCTATCAATCCAAAACATACAAGAAAACGCAGGATATACAATAATTAAATTAGATAAAACTAAAATAGTTACAAAAACAAATATAATTCTACACGTAATTAACCCAATAGAAATAGTAGGTATAATTCAGAATATGGCAGAAAATATAGAGAAAGTTAATATAGAAAATAAAATTATGTTAAAAATGGAATTAACAGATTTAATGAATAAAATAAAAACTATAATTCCTAAAGACAAACGGACAAAAAGAGGACTGTTAAATATAGTAGGCAGTGCTTCAAAATGGTTGTTTGGTACAATGGATGAAGAAGATAGAAAAAATATTGACGAACACTTAAGAATTTTAGAACAAAATAATCATAACTTAATAACTAATGTTAATTCGCAAATAAAAATTAATAATAAATTCAATAACACATTAACTGAACTTAGAAAAATAATATTAAAAGATAGGGAATTAATAAATGAAGACATAGGAAAATTAAAACCAATAATTTTACAAAATATATTTCATGATCAAATGATGAAAATTCAGATGTTAAAAGAAAAAATAGAAAATATTCAAGATAATATAGTTTCAGCTAAATATGGTATTTTACACCCAAAAATTTTAACAAATAAAGAAATTGAAGAATATAATATAGATTTTTATAAATTACAATATATTAAATTGGGTGTTGCTAAAACTGATGATGGTTTATTAATTTTTGCTATTAAAATACCAGTATCATTTACTGAAGTACAATTAAAAGTTATATTACCATTACCAAATAAATTCATTAAAGAAATTGATTCTGAAGAAGAAATTATTTTTGAAATATATAATATAACGTATAATTATGAAAAGTTAAAAATGTTAAGTGAATTAAAGAAATCAAAACATTGTATTTACAAAAATAATTGTAAGCTCATTGCAAATAATGAAACAGAAGTTGTTACTATAGATGAAGAAACAATTTTAATAAAAAATGCTAATAATATCACACTTATTCAAACTTGTGATGACAGAAGAATTTATCTAAATAAAAATGTATTGATAAATTATAATAATTGTAGTTTAGGAATATTAGATCATAAATTTGCGAATAATAAACAAATATTTAACGAAAAATTTTATTACCCTAATGTAAAACAAGTAAATTTTACTGAAAAAATTAATTTTGAAAATTTAGTAATCAAATATGAAGATAATATAAAAGAAATTACAGAAGAAAAATTTAATGTTAAGGAGCAATCGAAAAATTTCACAATAATAGTAATAATAATAACAATTTTAATAATAATTTTGATTTTATCAATTGTAATAATATTTGTAAAAATTTTTAAATTGAGAATTGAGGACAATTCTAACTTAAAGGAGGGAGAAGTTATATATAAACCATGTACAAAGCCATTAATAAATAATTATTCAAATATACTTTCAGAAATATCAACTAAAATAAATAAAACATAAATATTGCTGATGGGCAAATAACATAATATAGATGATAACAATTAATGTAAAAACTTTCCCAAAATAATTAGGAATGTTGTTAATCTTGAAAAAATAAATAAAAGAATGTAACTTAGGAAATTTTCTGAAGGTCATTTTGTAAAAATAATATTGTTAATCTGGTTAATCAAATAGTAGAAATTATTTTAAAACTTTCCATTTGATTTTAAAAGTAATTAATCTGGTTTTA